GATGTTCCAAACCACAAAATAACAAGGCATGAAAAGAATTGAAACGTAATTCATTTTCTATAATGAGAGAATAAGGTTGTCCTTCTTCTTCATTGTACGGATTTATGCTCAACTTCTTGAGAAATGAAAAATTTAAATATAAATCCTTTTCCATTACTTTAGTTCTAATTTACCTGTGAGACTTCTTTGTGGTTTTGAAAATTCCAACTTGAAGGGAAAAATTTTAATCTCTAATTATTTTGAGGTTAAGAAATTATAATCTTGCTGTCTTTTATTAGAGCTCACTTACTATTCTTGATATTCATTCCTACATTATTTAAAGTTTTTGATTACGGAACGTACTTTTGAAGCAAAACTTTTTTCTGAACGCACTCAAGATGCAAAAACTTTTGTATCAATTCCATCACGAAATTGACCTTTAAAGCAAATAAATAAGTTCATAAGAATCTCTTTACCACAAAATCCTATCAATTTCCACAAAAGAATGAAAGGGACAAGCAGAACAAGAGAAGAATCTATAAATAACAACTCAATAATCGATTCAATCGAGCACTAATCCCTTGAAATCAATGCATAATCAAAAGAAAAACTTTTCTCTTTGAAATCGTTGTCCATTGATCCTCTTTTCGCACCCTTTCATAATGAAAACAAACTCCATCACCTGCTCTTGCCATTTCCTCAATTCTATTGTGCATTGCCAATAGCATTGTATCTTTTTCAATTACAAACGGGTAGGATTTTTTTCGGGATTTTCATTTGTGGCTGAATTGAAAGAATATTGAACTTTTCTTGATTGGTGGACGGAAAGCTAGTTCGTAGGACATAGAAGGAAACTTTTACATCCTCAAAAAACAGTGAAAAAAGGTAGAGCAAGAATGACAAACAACTTTTTTTGCTTCCCTATTAACTTAAATACTTCAAAAAGGTTCGTTTTACAATTGGAATGTGCGTGTTTCCTTAAAATTGAAAATTCCATTATTTTACTCAACAGAATTTAATTTTTTTCTGTTGTTTATTGTTTGTGTGTCGCCTTATATACAGAATTTTTTTTGTTGGTTCTGAAAGATTGCGGCAGGATGGAAAAAAACTTAATTAATTTTTTAAGCTCTCTCATCTGGAGCTTTTTTTTTTGTTCTTTTGCATCTTTAAGCCATTCAGATGAAAATATGATGAGGGCGAGAAACCCTTAACCTTAGCTATTAATTGAATCGTGTACACTCTTTTTTCAATTAATTTTTTACTTGCCTTAATACTCTCACTTCTCACTCTCGGTCGGTTGATATTTAAAGGATGCGAATAAAATTTAAATGAATATTAAATGGGGTAAATTTTTTAGATCAAGCAGAAAGTGAGAGACGAGCTGTTTTGCATTGCAAATTTATCATTTTTCCACTCTACTTGGTCTTTTACTTCGTCACATTCACATAGATCTATGCAAAGAGATTTAATGCAATATTCTATATCAAACTGATGAATTCTATTTTATACTTTAAATCTGTCTATTTTGCATCTATCAAGATACTAGAGGTTTATATTTGTTGCCATTTAATTGTTGTATTTGCTGAATTCAGCTAGTTCAGCAATTTTTGCTGAAGCGAAAACTTTCTCCAAATATGAAAATACGAATTGAAAAACTAGAAAAAATGAAGAAAAACAAATATTTTCCGATGGAAATGTGTAAGAAAATTCAATTTAATTTGTAAAAATTTGCTTTAAATGAAATCTTTTTTATAAAACAAAACAAAAAACACATAGGGAAACTTACTTAAGCTTAAAAGGAAAGAAAAAGATGAATAAAAAGAAAAGAACTCATTGTTTTAGAGATAATTAAATGTATTTTATAAAGTATATATATAGATAGGAGATTTTATGAAACACAAGAAAAGTTTTAAGAAAAAAAAATTATTGTGCAACAGAAACTGCATTAATGTAGTGCAATGAAGAGAAGGGAACTAAAGGGAAGAAACAGAGAAGAAAAATCGCTAAAGTTTCATCTTTAATTATTGCATTTTTCTCTCTGTGACTATCTCTACCCGCGGTAGTACCCCTCTTCGAAATTTATGAACATGAAAATTTATGTAAAACTTAAGCACACAGAACAAAAGAAAAGTTATTTTTATTGTAAATATTATTTTAAAATGATAAGCTTTTTATTACGAACAACAAAATGTGGAGAATTTAATCATTAAAATTAAATTAAAATTGGAATCTCTCAGCAAGAAAGAAGATGCTTCTTCCATTAATAAGTTTAAGTGAAACAATTATTCAAACCTGAAATTACAAAGAAAAAAAAACTAAATTCTTTAACTTTAATACTATACATTAAAATGTTCTTAATTAAATACACCTGAGGGTCGTTCATAAGTTATGTCTATCGTTTTTTGAGGTTTCTATCATTTAGTAGAGGAGTGGGTTGGTCTAAAATTCAAGATATCACTTTTGTGATCAAGATCAACACCCTACTTTACCAAAAACACTATACATCACTTATGAACAACCACTATAATATATTTTTTGCATTCTATTTTAAGGAATATTATTTTTTGCGAGAGATTTTCAATGACTTCAATGTACAGAATTAAATCTTAATAAGGAATAAGTATAATTAAATTTGTATGTTAAGTATAGTAAACTGCAAAAAAAAAGTATATACATAAGGAAACAAAAAAAAAATATGAAAATCGTGAACACAAGAGAAACTGAAGAGAAATCTTGAATAAAAATTTTAAAAAATTAAAATGCTTTGTCTTGATTCCATTTCTTTGAGCTTTTTCAGGTCTAGCTTACATGCACTGTTTATTTGAAAATTCAACTACCGAGAAATCAATGCTGAACCTTCGTCAAAGGACCACTCGTTGGGTTAAGTTAAACAAAAAAGTTCAGAAGTTTAATGAGTTAATTTGAATTTGCTATAAATTATGCATAAGAGAGCTTTATGGTTGAAGAGAGTTGCAGGCTGTTAATTTTTCGTTGTTTATATTGAAGTGGGGGTTTCTAGAAAGTCATTTGGTGGTAATAACATCAGTTAAGGAGTTTTGGCTTGATTTCTGCATTAATAAATATTTGAGTTGTTTTATTTTGTGTCATAATTTGAAAGGAATTCAAAGGTTTATTCATAAATGACGTTTGAAACTTTAGATTAGAGAAACAAAGTGATTCTGAAGCTATGATTTGAAACCTTTGCTATAATTTCGTCAAGCCTTGCTTGTTGAGTTAAAGCAGCTTCAACTTTGTGGCAATGCATTTGTTTATGTTTCAAAACTTGGTGATAAAGTGAGAAGGGATTCATGTTAAGCATTTCATTTGTGCATTACCCTCAATTCTAAAATCTTTACTTTAATATCCAGCACTGCTTAGGCTTATTCATTGTTACTCTTAAATAATGTTTTAAACATGTATGATACATCTAGAGAATGTGGATTTATTTTTGTGGTTTTTTGCGATTTATCAAGATAAGCAAATATTTTTGAACAATGTGGTGACTATTAAGCATCACATGTTGTTGTTTAAGTACCTAGTTAATTCACCGATCTAGTCGATTCTGTTCAGTTCAACTTTATTCATTTTAGTTCATTTCATTTCAGTTTAGTTTAATATAATCGAAGCTGCAGCTCAAACAAGCGCATCCAAATTGAAGGTTAATAAATTGTGGGTTAAAGACTGGATCTCAACAGGTTACATGGAATTAAATCGGTTTCTAAGAAGTGTAAGTTTATTCACCTTTGAATCGGATCATTTAGTGTCAAAATACGTTTTTGACAAAGCTTTTAAGGTAGTTGAATCAGAAGATAATGCTGCTGAATCTTGTGATTTGGTGGATAGTAATTGTATGTCTGTATACACTGATGCATACAAAGTCAGAAAGTGGTGTTGGTATCGGTCTGTTCAGCAATGAGCTGAGTTTGAATTCATCCTACAAACTGCAAGATCATGCTTCTGTCTTTCAGGCAGAAGTTCAAGCTATTTGTGAGGGTGCTAATTACTGTTTGGATATGGATTTGAAAGGCTGTAGAATTTGCTTTCTTTCAGATTGTCGATCAGCTTTGATGGCTTTAAACAATTGTGTTGTGAAGTCTTTAACAGTTCTTGATTGTATTTCTTGTTTAACAGCATTGGGGCAAGAAAATGAAGTCATCCTAAAATGGATACCTGGACACAATGGTATTGAAGGTAATGAAATAGCTGATCAATTAGCTAAAGAAGCAGTACACAAGGAAGCTTATGACAAGTCGACGTACTATGGGTTTGGCTTGTTGAAGTCAAACATACGAGAATGGATGTAGAGACAAAAGACTTCTTGTTCCTAAAAATAAGAATAAAATATCTGATGCTCTCAGACTACCAAGGAAAGATCTTAGCATCTTAATTGGTGCTTTGACAGGACACATGAGTATCAATAGTTTTCTTTTTAAATTGAATTTGTCTAACAGTAAAATTTGCAGGTTTTGTAAGGTAAATGAGGAAACAATCATTCATATACTTTGTAAATGTAGGTCATTACGAGGACAACGTGTCAAGCATTTTGATGAGGACTATTTTAATGATGAGGATATAAATAAGCAGCATTATCAGGATATTATTGGCTTCATCAAGGACACAGGAATTTTATCATAGTTTGCTTGGGATGGTACAACAGATCATCGATCGCAGTGCCGTTTTTGCTCTAAGCAAAACCCTACATTACATTCTATTCTATTCTAATATAATTCAGTTCAACATAATCCAATTGGATTTACTTCAATTCATTTCAGTTCAATTAAACCCAATCTTATTCGATCAGTTCAATTTAGTCAAACCATTTGTTCATTATAATTTTAATTCAAATATGTGTAAAATCAACTCCGTTCATCATGAAGCACTCATTTATTAACAATGAATATGCTTTGACAATTTTTCCAAGAATATATTCATATAAATTCCTAAATGAGTTCCTAGAAAACAATATGAGCAACTTTAAAAGCTTGGCTGTAAAATAAGCATATGATAAACAAGAAATCAACTGTAATTCAAAAGATTTTTAATGTATTTCCTCCATGCTGACTTGAATTAACGATTACAAATGACAAAATTGATTTAATTTGAATCTATGGATGATGATGTACCGTTCATGGTTGTTCCATTTTGCTGAATTATTGCTGACGTCGTTCCTTCGGGTATGTTTTTAAGATTCTTCTGGAGTACGTATGCATCGGCAGGCTCAATTCTCTTATAGTAATTCTGTTTCTTGTCCACAACTTCAAAGCCAAATTTCTTATAGAATGCAATTGCTCCTTCGTTATTAAGTTGTACGTGTCTAAAAGGATGTAAAGTAAGAAGATATTAGCGTAGGATTATAAGCCAACTTGAGAGCACAACTTACAGAAATATATTATCAAAATTTCCATCATTTTCAACATAATTAAGTATATGATTAAGCATAACTGTGCCAATTCCAAGACGTCGATATGGTGATAAGCATCCAAGAGTCATAATGTACAGTCGTCGCTGATGACCTAAGGTATCAATTCGACAACAGACGGCACCGACAACAATGTCATTGTAAAAAGCTAGTTTACACAATTCGCCAGATTCTAAGACATCCAGATAGAACCGATCATTGTAGGATACAGGAAAAACAACAGAATTGATCTTTTTCAGTTGCTTCAGATTATGATGTGTACAGTCTCCTAATTCTATTGCGGCTGTTCTAAAATATCAGAGAAGTATAAAAACAAAATAATTAAAGCTAATTTGACGAGATAGTGCTAATAAAGCTTAATTAATTTTACGGTATAAAATTTCCATAAAATTTTTGTCTACTATTTGCATATTGAATAATTAACTGTACAACTTTGACTCTATGAACTGTGCATAATTTATTTATGAAGAAAGCGTCTTTGTTACTCATTCACTTAATTAATTACACTTGATTTTCTTCAGAAATTAAATGTGCGAAAATATTTTCATGCGTTTATGCCTTTATTTCAGAGAAATTTGTGTTCTCTTACTACTGGATCTATAGAACTTCACTTTACCTCGTCATTTTCCTTGTTTAATATAATTAACTAGACCTTAAATGACTTAAAATCTTTATTTTGCAAAATGTTATAGAAAAAAATGCACACAATCAGTTATTTGTACCGCAAAGATTTGAATTATTTCTAGCCGTTAATGAAATTGGTATTTTTCCAAGTACAAGTTTAGTAACTCCTGGCTCTTAAAGTTTTTGACTAAGCTTTGAATTTTGTGTTGAGTGACTTAAAAACACGTTTAAAATCGGCCGTTCACTTATTACATTCGCATTTTAGGGGGAGGGGGGGTTTGAAAAATTGTAACAAAATGTAAATAGGAGGGGGGGGGTCACGAAAAAAATTTGTTTACAAATTCAAACCAAAAACATTTTTTTCAAATTTTTCACCTTTTTAATGATAAAATAAATTATGAACGTTCAGAGGGGGGGGGGGGTTGAGTTTTAACAAGGGGGGAGGGTTCAAAATGAAAGCTATAATTTGAATTTCAAAAAGCCGTTAAATGATAAAATTAAAAAGCGTTGTAAATTTCAAAAAATTTTTATTCTTTTATTCCTAAAACAGCAAAGTTCCTCGGAGAAATAACACTATCAAAAAGTTTTACAAGATAAACATGTTTAACACCATTTTCTAATAGATAAAGATATCTGTCTAGATGAATTAAAGTTTCGATAGTTTTAGCCGATAAAAGTCTGATAAAATAATGGAACGTGATTGCTTCCTTATCGAATTTATGTTCGTTTTCTAACTGCTTAATTTCATCCTCAGTCAAATCGTATGTAATGTTTAGTCGTTGACACGCTTTCCTGATATATTCTTCCAAATTTTTAACTTTCTTTATTTTACCAAGTCGGTAAACGTGTGGCTTTAATCCTTTACGGTACCGCTGTCGAAGTAATTTTTCAAATATCGCACGAAAGAAGAGCGATTCATCAGGATTACTAATTCCATTCAAAATTCTCTCAAAACTCTGTGTACCAAGCATTCGTGCATTCCTGCCAATTCTACATTTTTGTGCCTTGAGATAATTAGACAGTGGAAATCCAAAGTCATTAGGATGGTCTATGATTCGTTCCTTCTCATTAAAATAGTCAATTTCGAATTCCTCAAACAGTAAATTATAACAACATGGAACATTCATGATCATCTTAAGTCTATCGTTAGTAACAAAATGCTTTAAAGAATTTGCTGACAAGTTCCCACATGTATGCAGCCCAATAAGACAAATCTCATCGATTTTCTCTTCTGGATATGCTTGATCTATTAACTTATTCAAGTCTGTATCACCATAAATGTAAGATGCAATTGTCTTGTACTTGTTATCATTAAGAACTTCCTCATTCATTTCTGGTGCCTCAATATTGTTCTTTTTTGCTTCCTTCTTAACTAAATGAGGCCACAACTTTGTCAATTTCTTGTTGCGTAGTTCAGCTTCGCGGGCATTATGATCGCTTGCATCAATACCAAGAGTTTTAAGATTGAATTCTAGAGATACACGTGTCGATAGATATCCTTTGCCATCACCAAAATCAAGAATTAATGGTTTTTTATGACGAGCTCTGGAAAGGATTCCGACAATTTTAGAAGCAACGCTTACTTCATGAGACTTTTTGTCCTTCATGAATTCCTTAACATGAACATTTAAGCCTAGATCAGTTGGGATATTCAGTGCCTTAAACTCGTCAATCATTTCATCATGAGTTAAATAAAGCTTGTCAGTTAAATTTTCAAGATAAAACAATTTTTCCAATTGGATCTTGTTGTGTAGACTTTGATGCTTCTTAATTAAGTCAATTGATGGCTTATCTTTTTGGAAAAAAAGATCCATTGCTGATTTAACATCTTCAACTGAGTTAATTTCACTTCTAATGTTCTCTGGAACATGCTTAACGTACAAATTCTCACAGATCCAGGCTACCATATGCATATTAACGAAATCCCTTGACGGTTCCATATGTTTTACTATTAGATCCAGATGTTTTTGGACTGTAGTTATTAATTCTAGTCTATTAACCATTTTATTTAAAAGCTTAAATCAGATTTTTGAGGATAAACTAAGTTTGTGATTTTGAGCAGTGCTGTAAGTTTCTTAAACTGAGCTCTAATTGTATTGAGTGATTCAAAAAGATCAAATGTATCGCAATTAATCTGTGGAAACTGCTCAATTATGCCTTTTAATTGTGTTATCAGATTTAGCACTTTCTGATCAATTGGTGCTGGAATTTTATGATTCTCTAATACAGCCAAATAGAAGCCTAGTTCTGCTCCAATTTCTGCACCTCTATGAAATCCTAAAATTCAACATAATTGTCATGTTACAAAGGCATGATTTATGAAAATAGCACAAGATTTTTACCGATATGATAAGCTTCTAAATTTCCCTCGCTTACTCCTTTCTCAAACCCCTTCTTGTAGCTTTCTTCAGCGATTCGCTCCTCACTTAGAAGAATCTGCTCAAAAGCATCATTAATATCCATAAGGAAACTGAAGTAAAATTAATTAAATGAGACGAGAAAGTTATGCGACAAAATTCATACTTTGTGTTTACAAAAATGTCAGGGATTTACTCACTCTTTTTAAAAATCTCTAATATGCTAATTTGTGAGAGTCTAAGTATACAGTTATGCTTCTTAAGGTGCTCTATTAGTAGTTCTGATTGTGGATCACTGGATCAGTCTCTCAATCAGCCAAATTAAATAAAATTAGCAAATCAATTTTGGGTCTTAAGCCCTGAAAAAATTCCAAAATTAATCGACAGTTACACAAAACTTTCAAAATAAAATAAACTTTTTGAGGTTAAAGAAAAAAGAAAACAAAAAATTTTCAATTTTCAACATATTTAATTTTGTCGTTTTTCCTGGCATTTAATCATCACTCTTTCACTAAGGATCAATAATAATCATGTTGAAGACAACAGCAATGTTAAATTTAATCAGAATCAGCACACGTTCAATGAGAACGACAACAATTTATAGAAATGTGCAAGCAGCAACAGCAACATCAGAAAAACTCCAGGTTCCAGTACCCGAATCAAGTGACAAACCATTCAATCCAAAGCTTGATAACATCGTGAATCAAATTGCCGGTCTTAATATCTTAGAAGTCAGTGAATTGAGTAGTTTATTAAAGAAGAAATTAAATCTTCCCGACACAGCTATGATGCCAATGAGTGGATTTGTAGCACAAGCAGGACCAGCCCAAGCTGCAGAGGAAGAAGAGGAAGCAGCACCAAAAATAGTCAAGTCCTTATTTAAAGTTAAAATGACTAAGTTCGATGACAAACAAAAAGTTGCATTAATTAAGGAAATTAAGAGTTTATTCGATGGAATGAATTTAGTACAGGCTAAGAAGTTTGTCGAGAGTGTTCCAACGATTGTAAAAGAGGATGTTTCAAAGGAAGAAGCTGAGAAATTAAAAGAAGCACTGACGAAAATCGGAGCAGTCATTGAAGTTGAATAAATTACATTATTTGAAGATTTAAAGATAAGTAATAAGATTGTATAATAGGCAGTTTCGCAAACAAATTCTTAGAATAAAAAAAAAGTAAAGAATACAGAACTAGCTTAGCTGTTTGTCTGATTAATAGATTGATTTTAGACTCTTATAATTCTGATAGGTAATTTTAGCATGAAACCTGATATGTATAAATGATGCAACAAAGGGGACTATGCAAATGCTATTGAGAAATATATCAAAAGAAAATTAACGGGTGCTCGGGACTTAAATATTAACGGAAGTTCAAAATTCGAAATGATTTGTTGCTCAGAATTCAACATTTATCGTTTGCTCAGAATTTAAAATTTTACGGAAAATCAAAATTCAAAACAAAGTTCTTTCGAGAAAGTTTTGCAGGACTTTAATATTAAAAAGATTTGAGTTCAAGGAAGCTTAAGGAAAAGGTTCTCTTCATCAAGCAAAAAGCCGCATGAAAAATCAAATAGTATTAATAGACCCAACAATAATGAAAGGGAATGTATTGCAAAATCCAGCACAAACAATAATCAAACATAAACGACAATCAAATCATCCAGAAAATAATGTTTATTAAACTTATGTTGTTGAAACATTAGCAATAACAAAGCAACAAACATTTTTTGGAAACTTGTATGTTTGCCCAACCTACCTGATACTTTGATGATGGAATAAAACAATATATATCATAAAAATGATCAATTTTAAAAGCAAAATATTATCAACAGAAGTAAATTAAGTTATTGATATGATAACTTAATTTGCTGGATAAAAAATAACTGTAAAAAATTTTGAACACAAGCAACGTCACACATTAACAAGAAACACTAACACATACACTCTCAAGATTGTAGCTTCACTTTTTAAAAATTATTAAAAAAATTGACGAAAAATCAAAATTCTACTTATAATTCTTGTCCAAAAAGGTTAGAAACCAGTGTCAAACGGTTAATAGCTGGTTAATCTTTGGAAATAACGCAAGGAACATCAAAAAAAGTTGCAAAAACAAGGAAAAAACAGCAAGTGATGCATAATGTTACAGTAGACCAAATTGAAAAAAATAAGCATCTAATCAGGCTTGTTAAGCAATATCCGCAGATCTATAATCATGATCCGAGTCAACAACATAATATTGAGTCAGTTGAGGAAGTTTGGCATAAAATCGGAGCTGATATAGGCGAGCCAGGTAAAGACATAGGAAAAGATCCAGTGGATGTTTATTAATGCACAATTTCTATAATGTTTAGCGGACGTTTGCAAGAAAAAGTGGCGGTTATTAAGGAGCTCATTAATTCGGTACATAAAAGTATTTAAGGATAAATCTACATCCAAAGGAAACCGCTATCGACCGTATTATCTACTAGAGCATATGGACTTTCTGCTTCCTCACATCGATGATAAAAGTATAATTCGAAAAGTGAAGCCAATTATCAAGTCCCCAAATCATACACCTACTACATCTGCTACTGTGACTTTAGTCAAGAAAGATCGGGACGATGAGACTATTTTATATGCTAATACAACACCCAACACTACAATAACTTACAATGTAGTAGCTACAAAAGATACATCCTCGCAGGACATAAAAACTGATTCGCAACAAGACATCCAGCAATATTATGCAGGTATATTATTCACTAGCTTTTCTTAAATTTTATTATTACCTTGCTTTTGTCTGCTAGTTCCAATATTAAACTAAAGTTGGATTATCAATTTAGCTTTATTTATTGGTGAAATATTTGTGGAATTAATATGCTTACTATTTGTTTATATATATTAAAGTGGAACGAGCGATTATGCATATTACATGCCTTACTATTGTGACAGTTTAATTTTAGGGGTCTTATAATTTTAAAAAGAAATAACGAATGAAAAAATTTAAAAATTAACGGCATTAAAATATTTGAAAGAAAACTCTCAAAAATTCAAAAAAAAATTATAACGAACTTTTGAACACGCTGACCCTTAATAAAGCTAAATCTTAATACAAGTTTTATTATTTCCCGGATAGGAGCAGGCGTTAAGATCATCGGGGAAGATTATATTACAACATATCAACCAGGCGAACAGTTGATTTATCAAACAACTAGCAGTGGAGGAGAAGAACAACAAATACAGCATACTGAATGTATACAGGAACAGCATGAACAGCAGCAACAAGAATGCATTCAACAAGAATCGCCGTCAAAATCTCAAGTCATGGCATCGACAACACTAATTCCTTTGCCAAATATGAATAATATCTTTTCGAGCACCAATCCTAGTGAGGCAAGCGATTTGTATTTCTTGATTGGACTATTGCCTGACTTTAAGAACCTTAACAACGATCAGAAGCGTAAAGTCAAGATTGGGATACTGAAGCTTATCGATGATGTCGTTACTAATTAAATCAGTTCTACTTCCTTATTTTTTTATTAATTAAGTCATTTTTGTGGGCAAGTCTGTTAAATTTGATGGAAGTAAGTGACATGCTGAAGTACACAAACATTTTGATGCATTATTATTGTTTTTTTCATTTTCCCTCCTTTTTTAACATTTCTTTTAAAATATATAAAAAAAAGTTTGTAGGACAGAAACATAAACGTCAAGCAAGCAAAAAGAGTGTTATTATTGTTTCCAAAAAAAAAAGTCTATCCTACACATTTTTTTCTTGTGTCTGTAAACATTATAAAAAAGGAACTAAATATATATGAAATTATACATATATTTTACGTATTGTACTTTTCAAAAATAAAAACTATCAAAATTTAAATAAAAGAGAACAGTTCTATTAAAAGTGTAAAGTCGAGATGTCGATAAAGAATCATTACTACTCAATTATCAGTGGATTATGTGGAAGTCTAGCTTCAACTTTTGGAAAACTTATGAATTATAATTTTTTAAAAACAAATAATTCCGATGCCGATGAGGTAATGTTGTATGTTTTGTGCTGCACATGTTGCACGACTGACTATTCTTTACTTAAAATTTTGTACAAATAAGCTACAAAATTTCAATTTTTACGGGTTTCAAAACTTCAAACTTGTCAAAAATTCAAATTTTTGACAAATATAACGACTTTTTCAATAAAGTTTAATTTACTAATAATTCAGTCCACAAAAGTATCTAAAACAGCTATACAAGTGTATTTGAATGCTGCATAGTGTTTATATGTGTTAGTCATGTTGTATGGTGCTATTTGAGTGTGTTATGTCGCCATTACATTTTTCATCTGTCGCGCTCACAATAATTTTTATTAAATCGCGAAAAACTATTAATTACAGTGAAATATAAATATTGAAAGTAGTGCGAATTGATAAAATGTATCAAGTAACAGCTTCTCAAACTGAGCAGAACATAAAACTCGTGAGTATTCTTTAGATTTTTAATGAAATACAATTTTTATCAATTCATAACACTGGATTTTTATTTGTGTGTGAATTATATTGGTTGATAGTGAAATCACTTATAATCCTTGAGCCTCATAGAACCAAGCAACTATATTCAGTGTAGAAAGGTTATATATCCTGAAAAACTAATCAAAAGCTTTTGATAAAATATATTTTGGGTATATATTTCTTTAAATGCACTTATATTTAATAATAAAGTATCAGGTTTTGCAAGTGGTTCGGATCCCACTATAAACTGTAGGTCTAAAGGGTGTGGTACAATAGATTCTGTTCTAATTTGAGTTGCAGTGCCTTCAGCTGAAAGGCACACATTATTATCAGGTTTTGAGCTAAAGCTTCTGATTCTGCCTTGAATTGATATCTCTACCAATCTTTACGTCCTCCGTATTAGTGATTTTTGGGTGCAGGGGGCTTAAAATTTTCAAATCCTTTCCTTCCGTTATTTATTCAAAAAAATCATTTTAGATTTCGTGCGTTAAACAGCACAGATGCCTTTTTGATCACTCGGATCAGAATTATAAGAATTCTGTGCACGTGGATCGTTCCTGGTCGTCTGTCTCAAAAGATTTTGGCGAAAGTATCTCAGATTGTAAGAAAAAATGGCGACATTTAAGATCCAGTCTATCTCGGTACCTAAAAAGCTCAAAAGATCAGGCTAAGAATAAAAACAACAAGCTCAAACCATATTATTTGCTCCAACATATGGACTTTTTAGTTCCTTACACAAAAACATTAGAGATGAAATCGGAAAGTGTCATAACTAAGTATGAATCTACGGACGAGCAGGAGACTTTTACAGAAATGAAAGAAGATCCGTCAGCATATGACCATGAAATCATACAGGAATCACAGTCGATGGACGATGAAGAGGATATTGTATATGAAGCATATGAAATACAGGAACAAATCCCGACATCGTCTACAGCCGTTACACCGAATTGTGATCGAAAATCACAAATTACTTTAGTCCGTTCATCGCATACAAATAATCAACAAAATGCTTCAATTCCTCAATTGCAGCCATTAATTAATACAATGTCAACACCCCCAAAATCATCGCCACAAACTCTGCAATTAAATGCAGCACAGATCTCACAAATCACCCAACAACAACAGCAACAGCAGCAACAATCACAAGCTCAGTCTGTAAATATGCATCAGCAACAACAGTCAATGCCTGTCCAAAATACAATTATCCCAATATCTGATGATCAAGGAAGTGCAGATTTGAATTTCTTCCTTGCCCTACTACCCGATGTTAGAAATATGAATCAAGATCAAAAGCGACGACTTCGTATCGGTACACTTAAATTGATTGACGAGATCCTGAACGCATCTCATTAAAAGAAGTTTAATATTTTGAGTTATTTTTGTTTCAAGTACTGATCATTATGTAAAAAAAAAGATTTAATAAAAGATGAATTATTAATATTAATTATAGAACAAATTGATTTCATTTAACGGTTTTTAAAATTCAGCATGTAACGGTTCACAAAAATTTGAACTGAACTGGACTATTTAAAAATAATTTGACAGTTAAAGATTGAATTTTTAAAAATCGTTAAAGATTAAATCTTGCAGGAAACGACACTGCTGCAAAAAGGAGTATTCTTATGTTTAGTGATTATTTCAAATGCCTTGGTCTGGAGATTTTTCGTCAAAGGATTACACAGTAATGATGAGAGTGCCTTAGTTCCAACAATGATATCAACAGCTGCAAATTTCTGTCTTTCAGGACTTTTTGGATTCATAATATTCAGTGAAAAGGCAAATTCTTTGTGGTGGCTGGGACTAATAATGGTTCTTGCTGGATTATACCTAATCGTGTCTGATAAGAATTTAAAGGAATTAAAGGATGGCAATAAAAAGGATTAATTAAATAATATCTCTTGTTTTATTGATAATTCTACATAGTTTTCAGGATTTTGGCAAAGTATTAGGATCCAGTTCACTAAATGCCTCAATTATAATTGTATCAAGAAGGCAATAAGCCAAATTTTTATTAAATACTGGATTTTGTAAGAGCACAAGATTATTTGATAATCCATCCTTAATTTTATCCAGTCGTTCCATCGCTAAATTCTTCCTACCAATCAATTCCTTTATGCTCGATTGCTGCTTCGATTTCTGATCGAATATCTTTTCTTCGAGTTCCTTAATGAGATGTGCAAGTATTGCTTGATTAATCAACTTCTCGGCTATTTTTCGAATTGAGAGACAAATCAGCATGTCAGAATTTGGTAAGAAATTTAAGAATCCAGTAGCTATCCTGAGAATAATGTCATTAAATTTGATAATTTCAGCTAAGAAGTACAAAAAACTTTGTGTTGGAGTCTTAATAAATGATGAAATGGTTATTGGAGCGACTGTCGATTGTCCAGTAATGTTAAATAAATTTTGATATAATTCTATATTTCCAAATTTAATTCTACTACGTTGCCTCTCATGCTTTGTCTGCGTTTTCACAATATCCTCACCCATATCAGCTTCTGATTCTATTGAGTGATAGAATGTCTTCATAAAATTATCTAAATCTTGTCCTTTCTCTTTTCTGAGTCTAACTGCCATCGAGTTGAATGGACTGATTGGATTCACGATGTCTAGGGCATCAAAAACTTGAATATCACCTAGAATAAAGATTTAAAAAATAACGAACATGAAATATTTGAAAAATAACTGCTTAAAAATATCAAAATTTTCAACAATTCAAAATCTTTCAAAAAATAACGGTTTTTGTACCTTCTTCAATGCCGTCAACAGCAATTTTCATAGACATTGCATTTTTGATTCGAACTGCAAGCTTTTGACTTGAAATATCTGAAGATCCAGCGACATCTTCAGTATCAGGTTTATATGTATTAAATTGTTCTCGATCCCCATAAATATACTTGTAGTATTCGGCACTTTTGTAGAAATCATATTTCCATTTATATTCCAAATATTTTCTAGCATGTCTATAGCACTGAATCAAGTCTTTTGGCATAGTTCCTTCATCCCCATCAAATAAATTATCCCTATAAAGCAGCAGTAATTTCTCAGACATTTGTTGGAGATTTGATAGCTTAATTGGATCACAAATGACACTTCTCTTGTCTAGTTCTGCATTCATGTGCTCAACATCTAGCACAAATTTAAGGATTTCAACATCCTTACAGTTCTTACTCTTTAAGAACTGCATAAAGTTGTACAGTTTCTCTTGATCATTAAAAAAGTTGCCATCCATACGCTGCTCACTGTTGCTTTCATCCGATTCAATTAGTTTACTAAAATTTCCTAGAAGCTCAACCTCTGTCTTATCATTCAGTTCCTTAATTGGACTTGTCTTTGAATTAGTTGCTAATATCACAAGCATATTAATAATATCTGGTTCCGCAATAATATCTGTTATTGGCAAAAATATCCAATTTGCAAAAAGTTCTCGTACGATTACAAAAGAGGATTTACAATTGAGATTGCTGGTTGAAAAAAGGTACGGGATTAAAGTTTCTGATAATGCACGCAAATACTTGATTTCTGCTTTTCTACTTGTTGTGGCTGGATGAACTTGATGACTGTCTGCGACATATGATTTCACTTGTTCGGTGATACTACCAGCCTTTATGGAATGCTTTATTTCATTAATATGTGTATAGACAACAGGTAGAAGTTTTGTTGTAATCACCATTGAGTAATCGATCTGTTTTGAAAAGAAAGGAAATTATGAATCAATATTGATAGCACTTTGTGTATGTTCTTTTGAATACATGGGGTATTTGAGGTCATTTTGGCTTGCTGAATTGAAATAAAAAAAAATTGGATTTTACAACGGAATTTTCACATTTGAATTTTTTAAAAGCAAGATAAAATTTGAATTTTTGAAAGCTGTTACTTTTTGAATTTTGAACATCTTTTCACTTTACATAATTAAAGTCATTTTTAAAAAAACCAGCATGCGCTTAATACACAACCACTCAACATCTTTAAAACATTTTTAATGTCAATGGCACTTACATCTTTGCATCTTATTGCCAAGTTCCGTACAGCATGAGCAATCTCAAATTTAATATTGCACAAAAAGGATCTATCATTTGATATATTTGAGTACCAGCTAGTAATGAATTGATTTAATAATCTATTGAAGAAATTCTCTAAAGTTGCGTCAAGGTCTTTAGCAATGATAATTTTTGCGTTGTTGCCTGAATCTCCTGGATCTCGGGCATTTTGATTAATTTTCAATAATTTAAGTATAATATCTTGAAATTGCTTCTTAATTGATGGACTTTGAACTATGTAGAGTATGAGCGATAATGATATGATGAATGCAACAATTAAATAAAGACCCATAAAAATACTGGAAGTAAAATAGAAAGTTGTTTAAATGCCTTAATTGGAGTTATGCTTTATATGATCTCTTACCTGTACAAAAAAGTTATTAAACATATTGTCACGGCTATAATTAACGTTTTTAACGCTAAGTTATCATTAAATATAGTTTTAAGTTGCTCTAAGCTTTCCATTCCTTAATGTGTATGCTGCTTTGCATGTCTGATAGTTAAAAACTAATTAATCACTTTAAAATATATCATTAAACTCTTTGTCAGTCACAATAAATAGAAATATATGTTTTAAACTTTAAAAATCAAAAAATAAATATTTTTGTTGTTTGACGAAGTCAAGGCGCAAACACCTTCAAAATTCTGCTGTTCTATGGTTACAGACTGTGTCTTTTTAAAATTTTATTAACCATGACATGGGTTTACAGCAGAATTTAAAATGAGTAGACGCAACTAATTATCAAAAGCCTCAGGTAAGGAAAGAAAGCAATAATCACAAAATACCACAAACTTTGTCAAGTTTCCTCACCTTGAACACAACGTAAACAAAACACGTGAGCAACAGTTGCTCAGAGAAAAATTCAAAAAAAATGTTTAACAGACTTTTTAACTAGTTAATCCACGTGACAAGAATCTTAAAATTGCATAAAATATATCCAAGTGTGTTTTTGTTGAGAAGGTATAAAAATTGAATTATTTTAACATTTATTTCTTAAAAGATTTAACAATTCCAACAATCATATAAACAGCCCCAAGAACAATAAAATAAATACTAAATACGAAAAATTGCTCCTTTGGAGTAAGCTTAAAGCTTGCGGTTTCTGTCACAAATATAATTGTGGATAAAGTTTGTACTGTCAATGCTACTAGAGTATTAATTCCAAATATCAGAGCAAATGAGTCGTCAGATAGAAATTTGGCAACAAATGCAGTAACGAGGGTGATGATAAAATTGTAAACGATACCTACTAGGACATACATGATGTATGCTATCCAAATATTTGTTGTCCAAATCGAAACTAATGTTAAACCACCTTGAAGAAATGAGCAGATTGTGAGGAGTAGGAGATCGTACTTTTGGAATGAGTCTTGGAGGATATGACCACCCTTAAAAATGGATTAAGGTAACGTTTCAAAATTTTTGAGCTTAGGTTTTTTTAACCTCAAAATTCAACTCACCAAACTAGCACTAAGTGCACCAAAAAGCGTCAATGAAGCCTCAACACCTCCATTATAGAAATTCTCTTGTTCAGGATCGATCTGCTGCCAGAGGAGCTGTACATAGCTAATAATCTGTAAGTACCCAGCAGTTGATAATGCCCACCATATACTATAAATAAGAACTGTACGATTTGAATAAGACACAATGAAGTGATTCCAGAGAAGTTTTGAAGCACGATCCCATGAAAATTTTGGTTTAATATCCTTTGATTGATCTTGTATCTGTACTTCTCTTCCGTTTCTCGATTCGACATCACTATCCTCTATTTTCCACATGTAAAGGCTGACTCCCACAGCAGGAAGCATTATTGAGACGCCAAATGATATAATTTGTGCTGTAAAAAGAATCGAAAATGCAATATAGACTTTCCTTATTGCTGCTAACAGCACTTACTTCCAAACGAGATATAATTCAGTTCCCTGACGTTCATAATACTAAATGACACAAGTAATTGAGCAAGAACACCTGCGAGAAATCTTCCAGATAATAAAGAAGCCCTTGTATATCCAGTCACTCGTTGATACTTTTCTTTTGGCACCTTTGCGTAGATGTACGTATAGTCTACAAATTCGGATTAATTAGATTTTGTTGGATATAAGATTTAGGATTTACATACACGCAACTTCTGATGCCATAAAAAAGCCATAACAAATCTGAACGGCATAAAGCCATGCTAAAGTTTTCGTCCATAATAGCAATGCCCACATAACAATTCCTACGCATGCTGATGCTATAATGATTGGCTTGTATCTATAAGGATATAAAATTTGCTCATTTCTCATGCTAGACAGTTGACATCAAATATTGGACTGACCTTAAAATATCAGTTATCATGAATACAACACATAATTGAAAGAGGTAGCTGTAAGTTCCAAAGGGATAAATTTCCCTATTGAGTTGTTCTGATGTCACATTTCTCCATACACCATTTGATAAAAAGTCTACAACAAATGGTTCGTTCGGCCTCATTTCTCGGAAGAAGCCAAATGTGCAAAGAATTAATGATATCGATACCCATTCCTTCATGTTTGAGTCTTTTTTACTTTCCTGTTTTTGACAGGGAGTGCATTTTAGAGTAATTTGTGAAAAATTAAAAGCATTTAAGTTTATGCACAATGATTCAGATTTGAAAAAAGTGTTTAAAATTTCCTTGTGCACAATATTTTTCTGACACATTAGAAAATTGAAAGTTTTTGTTGATTTCTTTTGATTTGATTCTTTTAGCATCTTCTACATAATGTTTTCATTAATTGCTCAAAAACTCAGTCCATAATATAAAGGATAAACATGATTTTTTTAGCAAAAGTATGTAAAAGTTTATCAAAAAATATTGTGCATGTCCAAATTTTGTATGAAAATTTATGTAAACTTTGAACGCAAATATCTCGAAAACGGCATTAAACGGCATGACCATATTAGTATGAGAGATAGATTTAAGCTTAAATAATTGATTTGTATAGGTTTCAGAAAGGTCTATGGAAGACTTTTTAACTTATGAATAGTTCAAGTTTTGTAAAAATACTCAGATTTCAATTGCATTTTTAAGACTTAATAAGCAGTTTTCTTTTGATTTGGTAGTTTTCATATGCAAATCTAAGCTTAACTTTGCAAACAACAGCTAGCAAGATATGGAAATAACAACTTAAAGTAGAGAAAATCAAAGTTTTTTTTTCATATACAAATTGTAAACAAATTTTTGTTGAAAATAAATTGAAGATTTCTGGAGTTAGACATCAAATTGAAACGAGATATTTTCACTGAATATGCCTTAAGTTAAGATCTTTAATCTGGCATTTAAAAGATGAAGTTTAATGAATATGTTATTTTTGAATTTTTAAACATTTTTTCCGAATCTGAATCATTGTGTTATGGTTTAAAAAGTGAAAGGTTGAATGAAATTTCAAATTTCTTTAAATGTAAATTAGACAGCTGTTGTAAGAGAGTTTTCTCCCAACCTCCGAATGAGGAGGTTGTGGAATTGTGCAATACTTCAAAATTAATTAATTACGCGTAGGAATAAGTCACAAACCTACGGGAACTGTCTTCAAAGTAACAAAGAACAAAGATACCAAGGAGAAAACTCAGCAAAGTCGCGATTTAATTAAATTTTGGATATAAATTGAAATTGAAAAAAAAAAATGTGCAAATTTTGCACATAACCTAGATAAAACGGAATTGATCATCATCGGAATACATTTAATTACATTGACAAATCACGATCGGCGGCAGTTGTGAGGAGAATCAATTGTTTCACGTGGGTTTTTTGTGTTTTACCAACAATCGTGGACAAGAAGGTTCTATCATAACCATAACCTAGATATATTGAATATTATTGGAATACAACTGATTATCGTCAATTGTGAGGAGAATTTGTCTCGCGATGGGTTTTGTGTGTTTCCCCATATATTGCGGGCAATTCTATCAATCAATTGGTGCTGACTGGATTTCAACAAATCAACATTGACAAACAGGAATCGATCATCTCGGAATACAGCAGATCATATTAATTAAATTGACAGATCACAATCGAGACATAAGAAAAAATTGAATCTATTTGGAATATCACAAGTTAAATTACAAGGACTGTCAAGGGATCTGGATCATCGACAACTGAAGATGGAATTTTTTGCCTAGCGATGGTTTTTTGTTGTTTTTACTTATCTCGGGCATGTTTTCTGTCAACCATTTGGAGTTGACTGGATTTTATTGATTGTTCTTTGTGTATATTTGTAATTTGAACTACCTGGAATTGTGAACGGTCTTTAAATAGCAATAAGCTGATGGACCATAATAAAGTTAATTAAGAAGAAGAAGAAGAAGAAGCTGTTGTAAGATTCTATAATAACATTTCCATGGTTTTCACAGGGAGCTGTTGTAGGGTTCTTAAATTTTGAATTCATTCCGTTTAATATTTGTTTAATTTCCCCCATCCCCACTGTCGCGTCATTTGTAAACATCCCATTAAATTCACAATCAAAAACAATTTAAACGGCACTTTTTATCACTTACCTACTACCTTGAACTAATCAGCAATCGAAATAATCCCACTTAAAATCAACTTTGGGGAATTGCCATAAAGCTTTTATCAAAGAAATTGATAAGTCTTGACATTCATAAAATGTAAACAGAGACAACCTTGAAACTTTTCGCACTATTTTTAACAGAGTAAGAGACAATTTTCATTCAAAAATCACAAAAAATTCATTTCTATCCCATGATTATGAGACATGCCTGCATTCTTAAACACAATTTAAATCACTTTTTAAGTGAAAAATCTAATTTTAAACTTTATCGGACAAAAAAATCTAAAAATAAATCAAGCGACATCAATTTGAGTCAATACAGTTACTTACCTTTATATCTATATAGACTATTAAAAATATCGCAGTAATAATAATCAGAAAGGCATTACACGCCGCTTAACAAAATGTGCAGCATGAACGTTTTCCCTCAATGAATGAAAATGAACTGAGTAAAACTTGAGACTCAAAAACTCTCGTGGAAATAGCTTCCAATAACTCATTCATTCTCTTCATTCTCATATTAAAAGATTATGTCGCTTACTACAGGAGTAAAAGTGGATAGCAGCGTAAAGTCGACAAAAATAAAAGTTTTATCAGTTCCGTAAATCTTGATCATGTGTTTCTCACGTTAAACTTAGTGATAAACTCTTACCGAATTAATTAACAATCGAGCCCCAATTCGCGAACGGTGATTAAGGTATAAAGATAATGACGATAATGAACTTGTATATTAAGTCATTTGATTGTATGGGAAGTGATTATAGACTTGATTGGGTTGTTTTGAGTTCGTTGGACATTGAACTTTCGAAAAACCCTAGGTTGCTAATTATAGAGTATTGGTAAGGCTTTATTATTTTGTTTATAACCACAGACACTTTGTTACTTCAGATGTTAGCATAAAAAGTGATCGACCTTTTAGTGGGATGTATCTCAAGTCTTTTTCAGAACAAACCTCCACTAAATTGAATAAATGAGTAATAATTTTGAATTGGCTTCACTTTATTTTATCATTCTCTTATCATTTTGTTAATTAACGAGTATTAAGTCATACATTTGAAGTACAGAAAAGCTATAATTTCAAAAACGATTCTTTTTTTGAAAATATTCTTACGCTGAATAGTGCTAAAATACGTTGAATTTTTTGCTGAAATAAGGTAAGACTTGCTGAATTTAGCTAATACTTTCTAATTTCAGCTAGCTCCTATTTAATTCAGCATTACCTATGCAAAGAATACTTTTAAATTGGGTTAACATCCCGCTGAATATAATGAGCACATGCTTAGTTTAGCTAATTCGTGATTCATTCAGCTAAAACCTGCTGAATTCAGTTACAAACATGCTCAGTTCAGCGAAATGATACTGAATTCAGCTTACCTCTAAATTAATCATTTGCTGAATTCAGCATAAAATAAACAAAAACTGAAAAATTTCTGCAAAATCCATCAACTTTAAAGCAGCAAATTCCTTTGTGTTTATGCATAATTAATGCGTTAATTTTCTTGACAAATTTATTCATCTAATCTCTTGTTCATTTCTTTCATTACTCTCACAGACATTGTAATTATCAAGGTATATTATTATTTTTTAAGGAATTATATTTACATACACATTTAATATAATGGAAATAATATCATATGTCACAGTCTCATGAGCTTCCATTAATTTATCAAAAAGTATCCCATTGTCTGTTTGTCAGCTATATTAATTAACATATATTGATCAAGTCATGGAAACTCGTGTGACGGTTAATTAATTCATCCATAGTAAGATTAATTTGTCTTTTTTTTCACATTTCGTCACAATTTACATGACTATGACTGCTTATTTATAGAACTATGTGAATAATATAAATTCTTTTTGTCATCGTACCCTGTTTTTTCGTTATAAGCTACTACTCGTTACTAAGCTACTAGTGAGCCAAAAAAAATCACTTTTTTATTCTTCTAAGCTACTAGCTTATAACGAAAAAACAGGGTATATATCCATAAGGGTCGCTCATTTATTACGTAACGCAAAATAGGGCAATTTTTTTTAAAAAAAATTAATTTTGCTCAAAATATCTCAAAACCCCACTTCTTTCCTAAATGAGGATCAACTTTTGAGAGGATCTGTCACTTCTATGTGGAGGAATTTTAAAAAATATCATTTTTCGATTGAAATCATTTATGAACGACCCTGTAATAGTAAGGAATTCAAAAAATTCAATGCACATTAACAGTGGATGTTGATAGGCTCATATTTGAAGCTATTGTGGATGTAAAATGGTCCATGGAGGAAATATCGGATGATTGTGGAACTAAAGTTGCAGTCAACGTTGATAGAACTGTTATTAGCTGAGTTGTTGTGGATGAAGATAGTAAGGTTGTAGATCCAATAGTTGTTGTATCAATTTCATCTGGATTTTTTGGTATGAATGGATATTGTAGACACGGAAAAGTAATTGGAGGTCCAAGCATATTTTCAAAGACATATCCCATCAAAGAGCCAACAGTTAATCCAGACATGTAAGAAATTGTCATTATATTACCCGTCATTTCCTTTAATGGAGTTGAGACTTTTTCTGAAGCTAACATCATTGGTAAAGATCCAGCTAATCCATTCGATAATCCTAATGCTATTGTAAACATAAATGCAGGAAGTTCGCCTCCAATTGTTGGATTCTTTCGAGGAGCTACGCATAGCAATAAGAGTGGAATTAATAGTGCGCGAAGTGTTGACATTAATACCAATTGACGACGAGACCAAGAATATCGTACAGCTGCCAAAAGTTTTCCAACTACATCAGCCGCATTAAATGTAAACATGAGTAAGACAGGCATCCATGATCTGAGATTGCATGATATGATTTCCGATTCAAGTCCTGGATATAAACTTAATGTGACACAGTATGCTAAGGCAATACAAATCATGTATGGAAAAATTGATCGTGCAACTTTAATTCTATCATTGAATCCTTCCTTAATTCTCCTCAAGTTGCTTAAACGAGGCGGTCCCGGTGCCAAAATGTGCTCAACTTTATATGCTGTTCCTGAAATATTTCCAGTTGGCGATGACAGCGAGTCTTGATTTAATGTTGCAGTTACGGCACTATTTGCTCTACTTGACACCATCGACGATTCACCAGATCTTATTAATGAAGACTCTATGTTAATATCACCACCACATGTTGGATTAGATAACTCATAAACGGGATTACTAAAGCTTAATGTTGGAGCGGAATGTGATTGAGCTGTAACGGGTGGAGTATTTTCAAGATTAAGAACACCATAAAGTGATGAGCCATCAGCCTCTTCGTCAGGTCTTAAAATTATTTTCGTACATGACTTTAAATGATATCGGATGTATGGTGAGTCGATTGTTATAACATGTAAAATATAGCTACAGACTACATATGCTATTGAAAGGAGGAAGAAAATCAATGTCGATATTTTGTCATCTTCAATAAGTAACTTTGTTATGACTCTACATAGGAATGGAAGAAACACAAAGAGGTGTGTTAAAAAAATTAATTAACGGAATTGAAACTTGATACGTCACCTATTTGACGAGACCAATAATCCAGCAACACTTTCGCCGGTCATTAATGCTTGAGTAAATTTCTTCTTTGGCAATAAAGCAGCAAATCCATAGAAGGAACTTTGCTGAACTGTACATCCGAGTGCGACGAGGCTCACAGCTGCCAAGTTGACATTGTATGCTATCTGAGTTGAAAATACATGCCATGCCACCTCACACAAGGCGATAAAACTTAGAGTAACGAGTGCGACTAAATAACCTGTGAAATATTTATAAGCATGTAATCCAACTTGTAACTGTTGACATACTGGATGGGGGAATGTGTGGGAAATTTAAGGACTTCCAATGGAATAAGTTTCTTTAAAGGACTAAGACTAGTTTGGAATGTTGGATAATAAATTGTTCAAGCACATTCCTTGTATCAATTTTATTGCAATAAGCATTAAATTTATAGAGATATATTTTTCAAGTGGATCTTTTATTGGGCTATCAAATTGCATTTAAGCACTGCATACTTTTAAATTAGGATTCACTAGAATTAGTAACCGTTAAATTTTGATTTTTTGAATGATGATGAATTTTAAAATTTTGAAAACCGTTAAAAATTTGAACTTTTATGGAAACCTTTAAGTTTGAATTTTTGAAATCTATTACTAAATTATGATGACAAATTTCACAAAAAGAAGTCCTCAACTGACACTCGAACCGAAATCAGCCAACCCCCCACAAAAACAGTGAACGGCACAATTAAGGAACATAAAAGTGCCTCAATACCAGCTTACCAAATAATATCCTTATACGAAGTGGAGCGATGGACATGAAAACATTATTCAATAAAACAGATGCAAACGCCACAACAATATACGTAGTCGATAAGTCTAGTTCAACAGTCCGTGATGGAAACCTCTCGATCCAATAATCGCTAGCAATTATGAAACTATTATAAGGCAGGACAAAACCTATTCCAGCTACGACAAAACTAAAGTATACCGTATTTCGATGATCTTTTGGTGGGTTTGGATTGTGTTCGGGACTAGTGTCGACAAAATTTCTTGCCGTACTTCCAAGAGGCTCATAAGTTCTCGCCTCGTCATTTAAATCTATTCCTTCCATCATCATTTTTTTTTTGTCTTTTAATTTATTTATACTTTGTGCTGCAGCTCTCTTTTAGCTACTTAAGAGAGATCTATATGCTGTATAGCTTCTTTTATTTTTGCAAATAAATGAGCTATATAAGTTATTATTGTATAGTTGTTGTTGTTGCTGTATTATTGAATTTTTTTTTCTTTTCTTTTCCTTAGTATGTTAAAAATTTACATATTTTTCACATTAACGACATCAATTGACTACATTTATGATGATTTACTATTTTTTGGACAAATTAATAAAGTGATGCGTAAGCTTTAGCTATCAATTTTTGTCCGATTAATCTATTTATTCCGACTTAAAATTTGCACTGTAAAAATTTTCATTGATGGAACCAATGATGACATGTTTACTGTACGGATTTTCACTTGACTATGTTCGAGAATAGAGAAAAATTGAGAAAATAGTGAACTTTTTGTGCATTGGAAGTGACGCATGCGCTCGTCTTTCACTTCCAATTGTTTACATTTTTTTCATTGAGAGACTGGCTGTATGAAGATTATGAAAGAATGTTTGTAAACATACGACTGACTTGGAAGATAACATTGTTTGGAAAGTTGTCATATTCCTTCATAAAAAATTAATAATGGTGAACACGTGGTTGTCGGTGTTTTAACTGTCATTTTTTGAATTGTGTAGATCTGGTGCGAAAACTCGTAGACCTTTAGATCAGAGTTGGTCAAATTTTGTTGAGTTCCTATCTGTATGAGGGAACTTTATATCTTCTAGAATATCAATATCAAGTCATCCATTTAATCCTGGATAATGTTCAATTTTCCAAAAAAAAAAAAAATTCCTAATCAACCCACGTGTTTGACATCTCTGGATGTAGATCAGAGGTTCTCAAGCTGTATTCCATGGTACTTATAGGCTAATTTATCAACTTACTTTATAAACATAGCTTTTTAAGACTCAAAGTTTCAAAAATGCGTTGAAAAATGGCGGTGCCACGTGCTGAAAAAGTTGGACCATCACTGCAGTAGACTTTTATATGAAAAATCGTGAAAAATACAATTTTGTTGCTATTTAACTTTTATCAGTTTTTAAAGTGAATTCATATCATTTTGATACAATTGACACAATAATCAACTAGTGTACTTTAACAGGTAACTAATATTAATGAAGTCATCGTGTTAATTAAGCTAAATGTTGAAAAAAAGTGAATTTTAAAAAGTTCAAGTTCAAATAAAATCACTCACTTTCTAATCATTACTTATAAAGTCAAGGGCAGTAAGAAAGAAGAAGATATAGGCGGCTTTAGTGAAAACACTATAACTTATCGATTAGTAAGCACTTCAAAAGTTAAATTAGCTAATATTTGATATTGCATAATAATCTCTTCTTAAGAAAAATAATAGGCACTAATTTATGTGCAAATATTGTTTAGCGCATTTCTGTTCATTAGATGTGACAAAGAACATCAAGTTCTGAGACTGACTATTCATTAGTGAGTCATTACTGGATGTTTGATAATTTAGAAATCTGAAATTTCCGGATCTAATTCATACATTGTATTCCATGATTTATTGTAAAGGCAGTTGCTTTAATCATTTGGCAGACATCCAACAACTTACAGATGGCTATTTCGACTTATAAATTAATTAAATTAAGTAAAAGTTACAGCTAGGTTAGGGCAAAGCTCGTTAAAGTTTTTAAACTGCGAATTATTCAAAATTCTGAAAACCGTTAAAAATTCAAATTTGAAACAGCCGGTAAAAAGTGTCAAGTAGCAGATGTACAGAGTAAATCGCGTGCGGCTATAAAAATCGCTACGATCACAAGATCGTCTTCTTGTTACTTGTTTTTCCTCACGTCTATGACATAAAGCACACTAAAAATAGTTCTGTGACTTACATATCTTCATATTTCTACTTCATTTCGTCATTCATTAAGTTAAGATTAATTGTACTTATACATAAATTTATTATTTACTAGTCATGAAATCTGTGCTGCCGATAGCTGTTGGAATTATTGGTGTTGGCGCCTTAATTTATATCTACATAAGGCAGCGCGATAAGGATAAAAAGAAAAAACCCGACAATGATGATAATAGCAAAGAAACTACTAAGAATAATGATACATTAGAGTCATTAGAATTTACAGTTGATAATGATTTGGTGCCCTTGATTGTTGGACGAAATTCGGTGAATTTAAAGTCGATCGAGGAAAAGACAAAAACACAAATCAAGTTTCGTTCGTGCGATGACGATCATCAAATGTGTACAATAAATGGAAAGGTTAATGACGTAAAGAATGCTAAACAATTGATTGATGCTGAAGCACAAAAGCAACCGATAATAACTGACGAGATCTTAGTTCCGACATCATCATGTGGCAAAATTGAAGGATATAGTGGATCTGTATTACATGATATCTGTCAAAAGTCATCAGCTAAAGTTTGGGTCGATCCAGCAACTAGAAAAGTACAAGGAGAAAATCGTCGTGTATTAATTACTGGAACTAAGGAACAAGTTGAAATGGCTAGGGCATTAATTGAAGAAAAGATTAAGGAGCCGACAGTTGAACAATCATTGCAAGTCGAGGAAAAGAAGGAAAAATCTCCAAGCCCATTCGCAAGCAACTCAAGCATTACAACAACTGATACACCACGTGAAATTATGTTGCCATCACCAGAAAAGTTCAAAACAAATGATGGACAGCTTGAAGTCTTTGTTAGCTCTGTTAAATCACCTTCACGGTATGTTATGCCTTTTTTTTCTTAATTATTTTAATTTTATAACATTGTTATTATTTCGAGCAGCTTTTGGGTTCAAATTTGCGGTCCACAAAACACAGAATTGGACCTCCTCGTCGACGCAATGACTGAATATTACAATCAGAAAGAAAATCAAGAATTGCACAATATTCGAGAGCCTTATCTCGGTCAAATTGTCGCAGCCATGCTTCTCACTGATAACAAATGGTATGTAGACACAAAATGGTCATTAAAATACGTTTGATCATGCAATTATTTGAAACGCAATTTGAAGGAACAAATTTTGCAGTTTTAACTGTTAAATGGAATTTGAATTTAAACCGTCAACCAAAATTTGATCTTAGTGAAGAAAATTTTTGAATTCCATAAAGTCGATAATGGTCGATAAAAGCTAAATGGAAAATTGCGTTTGAAGCAATTTATTAAGTCATTCTATTCGACATTCATTACTTATGTACTTATTTTATTTTTTATATTTCCTGATAAAAGGTATCGTGCTGAAATAGTCGCAATTCTACCAAATAGCAATGATTTAGTGCTCGACGTTTACTTTTTGGATTATGGTGATCAGCAGTTTGTTGGACGTAAAGATATTTTGGAACTGAGCGCTATCTTTTTATCCTTGAGATTCCAAGCAATTGAGTGCTTTTTGGCTCACGTTCAGCCAACAAATACAGGCAGTAAATTTGAAGAATGGGATAATCAAGCTATTGGCAAATTCGAAGAACTCGTTCAAACTGGCCAATGGAAAAAGATGATAAGCAAGGTTGTTACTTACAAGGATCGTAAATCATTTGCATTGCAGCGTCCATCAAATAAGCGTGAAAGCTCACCAGTTCCAGGCGTGGAATTGTATGAAGAGAATTCAGACCGAAATATTGCTTTAGATTTAGTTGAAAATGGATATGCTGAAATGTCTGATCGTTTTGGTGACTTAGCCAAGAGTTCAGTACTTAAAATTGCAGATGATGTAAAAGAAATCTCACCAGAACCAATGGATATTGCTGATAAATCTCAAGACACAACACCTGATTCTATAGAAATAATCTCAGATTTAAATGATGTTGTATCAGAACCAGAAGAACTATTTCTTGAGCCCCAAGACATGCCGTTGGAATCTGACGAGAAGTTTGAAGAAATTTCACCAATGCGTAGAGAAACTCCAAAAGATAGTAATATCTCAGAGCCTCCACAAGCCTTAGTTCCTGAACAATCTAATACTATTCCCGAGACAATCTCATCCGAATCTAATCAAACTAAAGCCATAGAATCTAGAACTCCAGAGCCACTAGCTGACCACAATAAGAATAATATTAATCCACAGTCGTTCTCAAATGGTGGTCAGTCACAAAAGGTCAAGCCAGAATCGAATCCATTTGAAGGCAACAGTCAAATGCCTAAAAAGAAGAAGAAACTCACAACAGCTGATTTCTTGAAGAACGAGCAAGAAAATGCAGCAAAAAAGTACAAAACTGATGACTGGAATTCAATGATGGACGACTAAGAGTCACAAATTATATCGAATTAAGCAACAAAATTGAAATTGAATGTGCCTTTCGAATATAATAATTATTTTTATCATCATTTATCGTTTATGGACGTTAAGCAGCCTTGATGTTCATTTATATAGCTCGTACTTTAATGATAACATTTGATGTTACTGAGAATCTTTGAGATTTATTAATCGTTTAGTAATTTTAAGTTTTTAATTTCCTTACAATCAGAAAAAGTTTATTAAAAAGTTGTTGATGGCAATTAAGAGAACTTTATGGATAGTTAAGATGCATTTTGCAAAGATTGAATCGAACAATAATAAAAGAGAAGCTTTTGAACATTAATGACTGAGGTTTTATTTATTTCAGGGATTAAAACATATAAAAACCTTTCAACAGCAAAAATATTTCATTTTTAAAAACCTTACAACAGCAAAATTTATCATTTGTGTTGAAACCTTTCAACAGCTGTAACAAAACAATTGTATGGTTTTAACAGCTTGAAAAAGAAAACCTGATTAAATTAAAATCGAACTTTCGTGTAAAGTTAAAACCTTTCAACAGCTCCAATAAAACATGTGTATGGTTCTAAAATAAATTCAATAAATTAATTCTGCATATTCTGTAACAAATTCATGACATCAACCTTGAAATAGAAAAAATCTTTAAAATTCCAAAAAGACAATAAGCTAGCCAACTTTCAATCATATTTGCTTGCTTATCGTCCATTAAAGGATGCCGGCAGTATTTTTTCAAATATTTTATTTCTTCAAGTTTTAATTTTCTTTCCAGTTTTGAAATTGATCAACTTAAATTAACTTATTCTTTCATTATTAAAAAAAATCCTGTGTTTGCTCAAAGTTCTTGTTCAGTTGCTTAACAGATTTTTTTTTTTTCTATATACGTTTTGCTTGTTTTACTTCCTGCATATATAACGGCTAATCTCGTAAGCGTTTTTGAGGCGCCTTTTTATTTTTACTTTCATTGTTTGTTTTTTATATTTTCAAAAAAGTGCATTTTTATCCCGAGCTGCACACAAAACTTATCGGTCGTTTGACAGCGGCTAAGCGCATTTGATGCCAACGTAATTCTACCGACTATTTTGTGTTGCTACTCAGGTCTCATATAAAGTCAAAAGAAGGAGAGACAATGGGAGGGAAAATAAGATAGTAATATTAATTATAAGTAAGTTAAGCTGATGATGAGCAGAAAGATACATAAAGAGTAGAAATTGAATTGAATGGAGAGTAAGTATTTGTGTGTATGCTAATTTAATCAGCATGGAAAATCAAATACTTTGCTTCTTTTGTGTTCATTGCAGTTCGATAAAATACAAAATGATAATGTACATATCCAAGTGCATGACCCAATTGGTCTCATCGCAGTTTATATTTACTTAATATTCTCAAAAATTAGGATTAAATATCTTTAATTATTTCTTTATTAATTGTTTTCTTTTCTTTATTTTGCAACAGTGATTTTCAAAGCAAAAAGTCAGATTTTAATGGAAAAAATTCTTCTATGACATTTGTTGGAGGTGCTGAGGCAGTCAGTCGTTGTGCACCCAAAACTATTGAGTCAATATTGAATAAAGAAAATAAGTAATAATAATTAGCACGATAAGATAGCGCAATTATGATAATTTTGGATGCACGACGATCACATGTCAGCACCTTAATAGCTTAATATTCACTTATACTTGTTTTTTTCAGTATAAATGTTTTTTTTTTTCATTTTATCAAAAAGACGCATTTATTTTTCATATAAAACTCCAGATTTTCAAAGTATAAAGTAGTTTATCATTTATATTATTAATAAATTCAGCGGGAAATGTTCATCATTTAGTTGAGATTTTTAACGGAAATTTTAAATTCGAAAAATTCTTTATTCTTTGAATTCAAAAATTTAAGTCAGTCAATTCAAATTTGTATTTTTACCGCCAAATTTTTGAGTTCAAAAATTTCAAATCTATTTTTTTTCTTCAAATATGAAGTTTCCGTTAAAATTTTTTAACTAAACTCACAACTCATAATTCATCTCAATTAATGAAAAATAAGAGCAAGTCGTATGCGTTGGGTGAGGAAACTACAATTATTTAATAATTAATTCACATTTGAAGGAGAAAGGGAGGAAGAAGGAAGGAGGAGAGCGAATCACGAGAGAAAATTTTGACAGGGGAGGAAATTGGCGAGTGTAGACGGGTGAAAATATTTCATTCATGAACTAAGAACTCGTTATATCCACTTTTTAATGCATTTGCACTAATCATTCTTCAAAATTTACTTTAAGATTATGATATTTTATTTTTTTTCGCATTTTAGCATTTTTATTTAAATAATTTTGTTGTGTTCTCGAAGAGTTCATCATCCATTGTTTTATATTGTTATTAAAATTTTTTATCCATAATGTATTTCAACTATTTTGATCTCAAAACGATTTTTTTCTGTGATTAATTTTCTTCATTTAACATGCGATTGTGATAAATCAAAAAATTACAATCATTTGTCGCGAGCTAGGCTTGGAAACTCTTTTTACTGAGACTATTGGTTAAGGGGTTTATTCAAGACACAACTAAGTTGGACCTAGTTTAAAGGGTGTCTTCAATTAGTCAAGACACCACAATCAGTTAACAATGTGTCTTCGAATAGCCAAGACACAATCGAGCATATAAACCTAGTTGATATAGTGTCTTCAATTAGTCATGACACAATCAAATAAGTAAACCCTAATTTATGTTGTCTTTAATAAGCCAAGACACCATCGAACTTGACAACCTAGACTTATAGACTTTAGCTCCCAAGCTGAACTAAATCCAAAAAATGAGTTTTCAAGCCAGGCTCGCGATAAAAGAGAATTAAAGTAGTTTTTTTTCCATATATAATTTGTTAAACACTTTTTAATCATAATAAAGTTGAACTTTAGATTTTCATCAGTAGAAAACAATGACAAAACAATTTTACTTCTTGATATAATAACATAAAATTTCTATTTTCTTCGTTTCATTCCATTTCTATGTAAAATCAATCAATAATGAGCGACGCAGAACGCTTTTCTTAAAGAAACTAATAAAAGATCCTAATATAGTTTATGTATCTCTTTTTTTCCATCTATCTCTAACATTATCATATTACATCATATTTTTAAATTTCACTTTAATTACTCAAAGAAAACAATAATTAATGTAGAGACAGGATTAATTTTTTGTTTGTATCTGAATATGTTATTGTTATTTCTTTCTGTAATGCTTGCGTCTTATTTAACTCTTATTATCTCGTGAGAAAAATGAAAAGAACCAATAAAAATATACGAGTTCTTGTAAAATTGTAATCTGTGTGTATCTTCTCTTGTGTTTGTGTGTATGTGTAAATGTGAAATATTTTTTTACTTTTTTTTCTTTCTTTCTTTTATGACGATGAGTAGTAGAGAATAATAACAACGAACTTAGAGGAAGTAGTCTGGTGTTCTTCTAGTAACGTGTGGCTCTCCACGACGTGGTGCCGGATCGAATTGGAGGCTGCAAAATAAAATTTAAAGGCATTAGTAATGTTTGATTATTTAACAGCTTTCAAAAATTTGAATTTCAACGGTTCAGAATTCAAATTTTTGTGCAACGGTTTTTAAGAAAACAGTCGCCTCATTAAGTAAAGTAATTGTCTTGAGGAACAAAAAACTTTGAAGAATATGCGACACAGACTTAATTAATTAAATTTTAAACAGAAGCGATACTCACAATGAAAACTTCAATGAATCGTCTAATTCCATTAATGCTGCTTGATTACCGCATCGATAACAGTAGTTTGGCGCTGAGAAAATTGTTACAACGTGACGTTCGTGACACCAATTATAGCCTTCCATAACTAACTGGTGAGCGCGGGATACTAAAGTCAATCCATTTGTATGATTAAATATTTCGGAAATGTCCTGTAATAATAATTTATAAGCATTTGATTCACATAGAATAGAATTAGATTGACATACCTGACCAAAAGTGTAGCCAGCTCCTCTTGGAGAAATACCCCAACCGCCTCGATCGTCTGGATCGCTCCACAAAAGATCACACATTGGGCCTTCGTGTGGTACTTCTTGCAGTCTATCAAGAGCCCTAATATGGTCTAATGTATCAATTGATGGCGATAATCCACCGTGCAAGCAAAATATTTGTCCATCAACAAGAGCGGTGAGGGGTAAATAGTCAAATAAATCAGTAAAGTACTTCCACACATTCGGATTTCCATATTTACGCAGGCATTCGTCATAGAAGCCATAAACTTGAGTAATCTGTCTGGATTCATGGTTTCCACGTAAAATTGTAATTCTTTCACGATAGCGAACTTTAAGTGCAACGAGGAGAGTGACTGTTTCAACGCTATAATAGCCACGATCAACATAATCGCCCATAAATAAGTAGTTGGTATCAGGCGAACGTCCTCCTATCCGAAACAGTTCCATCAAGTCGTGAAACTGACCGTGAACATCTCCACATACTGTCACTGGACATTTTACTTCCTGAACATTTGATTCCTTTGCCAAGATTTCCTTTGCCTACAAATAAATTAGAAAGAAAGATTATTAATAATGCTATATAGATTCTGTTTATAACATGAGCATAACATAAGCATGATGCATTTATCTTTGAGTTTTGCTTAGTTGCGAATAACCGTTAAAAGTTGATTTGAATTTGGCAGTTCAATTTTTGAACCTCAATTGATCTTTAGAATAAGCCTCAGAATAGGAATTGACGTATCCCACTTTTTTTCAAGACGACACTTGACTTTTAAAAACGATCATCTATGCCAGACTTTAGAAAATGTACAAAAATAGACTCGTACGAAAATCAATGACGAACAAAAATTTCGCACATCGCCCAAAAACTGGATTATATCTGGTTGATCTAAACTTACACATTAATGCGATAAGATCAATAAGAAGACAAAGTATTAACTTATGGCATTTTGCTTGATACGCATAAAATCAAATGGCAAAGAATTTTGTGTGCTGATCAATCAGGGCACTGAACTTGCTTCTGTTTTGTTTGTTGCATTAATATTCTGAACAAGAATAACCAGACTACGACAAGTAAAAATGGATGTGCATAGATATTTTTAAACGATAATTGAATTACAGTAACAAAACAAGAATAAAATGCCGGTCAATGTCTCGTTTTAATAAATGACTCAGCGCTGTGCATCCCTAACAATAAGTTCAGGTGCATACATATGAGAAGTAAATAGAGCAATTCTATTCAAGACACATAAAAATAGATTCACTGTGAATGACAAAATGATATTATCGCATCCATCAGCTGCATCCTCTTCATTCTTAAAAGTTTAATTAAATTCCCTCACTTTCCCCTCAATCAGCTATTTGATTAATTACCGCGTATTAATAAATAATTGTGCTTTCTATTTCTTTAATGCTTAGACCCAATAAAAGTTGCATGATAGGCAGTCATTTGTGCGTAAACAATTAATGCTTCGCTTGCGAGCTTTTTGGGTATTTTTAAAATTTTATTCTTAAATATTTTCAGGCATTTCTTTCCTTTATATAAAGATATGCAGCATATAAATAATAGCAGTATGTCTGTTCTGACGATAAAAGTATTTACTTCGCGATTAAAGACGTTAATCTTCAAAATGTAGAACCGATTCAAATTCAAACTTTTAAAAACCGATAGAATTCAAATTTATGAAATCCGTTAAAAGTTCAACTCTTCCAATATTCAAACACGAAGCTAGCAGACTCAGTCTTGCATACTGTTCCACTGCACTAGTACAATAGATTAAAAACTCAACGACTTTATAAATATTTTTATTTTCATTGCCGTACGAAAATATTTGAAGAAACCTCAATATTTCATTTGAGGCTGAGAATAGCCGTGCAGATGTGTATTAAAATTAGTAAATAAACCCATAAGTTGCCATCTTTAGTGCAGTTTTAACAAGACAAATATGTCGACTTTGAGATTTACTTCTTTGTCTGGGCGGTTATCTATGGATATGGAATGAAATCGCAATAAATCGAAGATAAATTATTGATGACAGCAATGACTTGATATTTTCAAGAATGGATTGACATAAAATTTCCAGCTTTTAACTTTTCATAAATAACTCTAAATTGTCTTATTAAATCAAATTTCTCTGCTGCCCTAAATAATATATGACATGGAAAGAAGCATAGAGCTTTACATTTAATTCAAATTGACACAAAGCCACCACCATTCAATCGTGCACATTGCTTAGCGTTATCATCGACAGTCATGTGTAAATTTAGCCACTTTATCATCCTTTATTCAAATAAAACAAAGACTAACCACATTTATGGTGGATGTCAACTTATTGTTCAATTTAGAGCAATTTCTGAAATAAGTGTAGATTAGGAATGACTTTAAATTGCTCTTCCTAATTTTATGGAGATTGAAAAGCATTTTCTAGCGGAAGTAGGAGCTTGTTGGCGGGAAAATCATTTGTTTACAAACATTCAAAGAACTATTTTCAATTTTATGAAAAGTTTTGGCATAAAACCAATCTATTTTTGTCATAATGAATGTCTATACGGATTTCGTAAGACTTTTCATTTTGAGTGTTTCTGTTTGGTATATAGCTGAATTATGGATATTTTTCAAGGTTTTAATGAAATTTCCGTCTTTTGAAATATAAGAAAACCGTTAAAAGAATTGAAGTTTAAAAACCCGTTAAAATTCCAATTTAAAAAACCGATAAAAAAATTCAAATTTTAGAAAACTGCTAGATTTTACATAGCACAATACCAGATTAGGACACATCTGCTGTCCAAGAGACATAAATTAGAAGTCTTACTTATTCAAAAGAGAACGTGCAAAGGAAGACTTATTCATCAACGGACGTGTGCTTCTTTACAAGCAAGATGAATGAATTATATTTGTTGGTAATTTTAGTACATACAAGGAGCTTGCGACACATTAACGACAACCTTAATTTATTCAATTATAATAGATTAATCATCTTATATATTTAATTCGTTTCCACTTTATAAATATAAAGTCCCAATGTAAGACAAAGTGTCTAATGAATGAAAAATACGTCATAAAGGAGGGAATGAGCTTGTCGTTGAGCAAGTGCAAATAAATTAAAAGAAAAAGAAATTTTCTACTATTATTTTATCAAGTGCGATAATATAAGTAAATTGTTTGCGTCAATGACATTAAAGGCACCTTTTGTCGAATGTCAAAGAAATCCTTCTAAATTATGTTTATGCATGGATGTGGTGGATGGGAAGGAAAAATCATTATCGATTAAACATTCACAATGTGAGGGAAATAGAAGCTTAATGAGAGGAACGAGAAAGAATTATATTCAGAATTAATCATTTAGCGCTAGTAATATATAAGGCACACGTAACATTGCGCTTGTATTTGCATGCTTAGAAGAGGAAATTATGCAGAAATCTTGTTCATTTTCACAATTACTTTTCTATTGTACTTATTTTACTTTATTCCTCAAATGATGGAATTTTTTTAGAGCATTTATGTGTAAATCAAGTGCGCTTTACCATTTGTGCGAATGACTGGATTAGTAATATGGTTTTAGTAAAATATTGAAAACTATTAAAGTCAAATTCTTGAAAACCTTTAAATTCAAATTCTTGAAGATCGTTAAGAATTCATATTCCTGAAAATCATTAAAATTCAAATTCTTGATTGACGTTAAAAACAAAATACTGATTTCAAATAAATACTGGGGGTCCTCGATTTGAGTAGATTCTATTTGAGTAGATTCGATTTGAACAGAAAAACAAAAATATGAGAACCTTGCAAATGTTAATTCACTGAACAATTTGTAAGGTTTTTGAATTTGAACTTTTAATTTTATAGCGATTTTTTAAATTTTTACTTTAATTTTGTAACTTTAGTATTGATTTTTCTATCAATATGATAAGTTCACGCTTATTGCAGTAAAATTTATGTTTTAAAAATATTTTCTGAAATGTTTTTATCAAAAATATTTGTTTTGTAAACAGTTCAAATCGAAGAAAACAGGAAGAAATCTACTCAAATCGAATATTTTGGTGGGTAAAAATTTTTCTGTTCAAATCGAATCTACTCAAATCGAGGACCCCCAGTACTAGGCAACAGCGTGTAATTTGACCATGTTACACTAGCAACATTGTGTATCTAAAGATTACGACGGAAAAAAAGATTTGATTAGAGCCCCAAAACAGTATACTTGGCAACGTACACCTACTCAAATTTTCTGTCGAATTCTTACACAACGAAATTAATGTAATGTTTATTTTTTCTTTCTGCAGGTAAGCTTTCTAATACCGCAATATTTCCAAGAAAATTCAATTCATTTTCATCGACCTTGAACTTAAACATGTATTACCGAATTTCGAGAGAATAAAGGAAGGTTTATTTTTACACTTTTCTTTCAGTTCCAATCGCAAAGGATGTTAACGTCAGTAATACGTCAAAAATTCACATATACACCCTAAGAATCACATTTGATCCTCGTCACAACGATCAAGACATAAATTGTTAATGAATTCAGTAAGGCAAGCAATTTAAAGACTTAAATTATTGAAGGTTCTTTTCATTATACGAGTATCAATCAACATCGATTGCTATATTCCTTCATTTTTTCATTCTTTTAAAGCCAATGTTTTCGAGTATCGATTTCTTTTATCAATTTATCGTCAAGAGGAAGAAACAAAATCAAGATTTACATATGAAAAGCACTTTGCATTCCATTCATATTATTCACATGGATTACGTTATTCAATTTTGCTGTCTATAAATTATTCAACATGATTCTAGACCTTGGATTTAAAGGCATGAATCCTTAGATATGCTTCTACATCATGTCACTTTTTATTGACATTTAAAACAATACAATTATACAATCTATCAAAATTAAAGCTTTTTTATGAACAAAATTAAAATTGATTGTTGTTACCAAAGACTTCATGCTTCTCATGATTGAGAGTCACGCTACGAACGGAACAGATATTTTGATTCTCTCAATAATAACAAATTACGCGAAAAAACACAAAAAATTACCGTTTTACAGTGCGTAACACAATTAAAGATAATTTGCAATATACAGTAAAATTAGATAATTTAGAGGTGGGTAGGACCTGCAATTGATTAGGAGCTGTTATCTTATTTCTCAGACCCCCCTAATGTCGCTTAAAGCGTTACGTAATAACTGAACAACAGAATCAAGTTCGAATCATCACGAACCAAGATGAATCTACAATTTTTAAACAAAAGGTCGTGCACTTTCAAACTCCTTAAGTCTTATGTCAGCATAGTTAGACCTTAAGTCCATCTCATGGATCTAGATCTTATGTCTATAGAGTAAATAAATAGAAGCACTACCCAGAGCTGCATCCTTAGTATTCTCATAAAAAAAACTATCGATTAATCCTATACTTGTGCATTTAATCCATAAATAAGCTCTTATTTAACTTCCGTTGAATTTTGCATGCACATATTATGCTTAAAATTACAGCCATTTTGTAGTTATTAGCACTAAGCTAATAAATGTCATGACATCATTCTGTTTGTTCATTGTAATAGCCATTGATTCTCTGAACATTTTAACTCGGAATTTCCAAGAGCCATTCGCATATTTCCTAACATTAAAAATGGATCTTTGATAATAATATTGAGCGTGACAAAACCCAACCCCACTCGCACGTGTTACAAAATATACGAACAGCCCGCTAAGCTATTCAACCGACAAAATGACCAAAAAATACATCCGCTCAGCACAAAAAGAGAGAGACATAATCAAAATAATATTACGGAAAATAACTAAAAATCAAATCTACAGACAATTTCAATGCAATAGCGGCAACAACATCATTTAATACTGAAGGTGATAAAAAGATATTTGGCATATTGCAGTTTTCATTCCTAAGATGATGCTTGCAATGTTGCCAGCTTTATTCCGTTCATACTACATTAGTATAAGCCCATACATACATACGAGACGAGACGAGTGATGCTGACGAGGAGGAAGTGAAAAGAAGAGGAAAGAGATTATTTTGAAAATATAGTAAAATCTTTTAGAAGGTAGTGAGAGAGTTAATATCTTTTCTACGGCTTATTTTGCATGAATAAAGAAAATTCACATTAATATCCTCATAAATTCAATTGTCAGTTCAAGCATAAATCCCACTCACTCGATATATAATTTCAAAATTCACTATTTTAGCAAATGAAAAGGTTTAAAATAATTACGTCTAATTAATAAAGCTGTTTGTCACTCAGATATTATCCTTAGTGTGATTTTGTGCACGATTTAAAATGGTTTTAAAGAAGTCAGGACAAATAAGAAGAATCTTACTTTAAATTGTTGTAGTTTGGGGTCTCCCATGCCTGTATATTCTATATCTGTGCTCTTGTCTTCATAATTTGTTTATTCTCTTCTTTACTTTGCAAAATAAACCCCATTTTATCGAGAAATATTAACAGTTTCTGTTGAAATCGGCATAAAAACCTTTGAACTTACTGATGGCATACATAAGAGATTCAGTGCTCGAAGAACATGAAAATATCATTATCTTGGATATTTTGGAGTTAAAAATGTTTGAATCTAGTTTCTGGACCAAACATTAAATAAATTGTCTTTAAATTAAAGTGATCATCCTCAATACATCTGGATCATGCATATCAGACATCAAATATTGTTTAATTGTGTACGAGAAATAGCTTTATTTTCATTTAGAGTAGCTCGATTCTCATCCATAATACCATAAATATCTAAATCAACATTTGAAAAATTCTAATTCCTCCCAATCACATACAAATTTTCGAGATCCGCACAAGGACACTTTAGACTTATTATTTCTTCTCACACCCGATAAATACAAATTGAAATAATTTTGATTAAAAGAAAATACACACATAATAAAAATGAAGAAAATGAAAGAAAAATATTTTGAGGAAGCTAAATGATTCATCAGAAAGCTGTTTGAGGATATCCTTGACGCTCATTTTTCCTCTATAAAAATGATTACGCTTGGGAGAAATTGCTCCTATTCTGATTATTATTAGCTAGCGAACAAAAGTATCAATGACGGGCGACAATGTCTTTAAAGGTAGATGTAAGAATGAAAACAAGAGTAGGTTTGTGTACATTTCATTTTCATAATGTTTTAAATGTAGGTTGAATATACCGTTTATATTAACAGCCTTAAGCTATAATACTCTTTGAGTATAGTTTTTAGATATTCACATCTAATTTGTATATTCATGTAGAAATTAAAAGCTTAGAAATGGCAAACATAAACAAATAGACATGATTAATATTAATTGGAGAATGAGCAGTAAGTAAAAAGAGACCCAAAACACACAAAAAGTGATCTGTTCAAGGTCAAGAATTTATTTATATTTAAAATACAATTCAATTTATGATGTCATCGTTTTCGCAGTTTTCTTATTTCTCCTTCTTTACACCTTACTGTCTTTATATACTCATTATGTGTATGGATTGTATATACAAATTTTTTTAATTTTTAATGAATGCCGCTTTATAGCCTTATACAACTGACAGACTGTTTTGTGAGTAAGGAAATTACATGGTAAATAGTAAACATATGAGGATAATGACGTCATTTAAATGAATGATTAAATAATAAATGAACGACATGTTTACCTTCACTTTTAGTTGCTTTATTTTACAATCATCAACGGACAGTAAGGTTCATGGTCAATAATAATAAATGAATGAATAAATGATAAAAATGTCATTTTTCGATGGTTAATGAAGATAACATAAAACAGGTTCATGCTTGAGCCGATACAAGCTGATACGTGAGAGTGAAATTTATATTTTCAGGTTGACCGGCACGTGCTACATATATACAATGTATATGCTGTTGTGACACAAATTCGCAAATCGCACTAAAATATTTCTTGAGCAGCAATAATGAGCAGATAGCGAAGGAGCTTTTCCGAGCTATTAATAGAATTCAAATGAGATCTAAACGATGAGACTGATAATGTAGAAATAAGCAATGTGGAACATAAACAATTGAGTGAAAAACTACGAGTCTGTTTTCCAGTTTGACTTATCAGTCAGCACTCGACAACACTTTTTGATTAAATATTTTTCTACTCGATGATTAATGATAAATTTTCTATTTCGATTATGACGACAGACTTTTTATCGCACTTTTTCTACAAATATGAATGAGATGCAGTCTGTCCTGAACTAAGATTACTTGTCGTACTCATTGAATAGGTCAGTTTTCATACAAATTAACGTCTGCTGATAGAGATATGCAGCACAAAGTGTCATGTTAGTGTCTGTTATGCAGCTTCAGACTACATAATATAGAGGAATGACTCATTGTTCAAGCTTGAACGCCATTTTAAAATTCTATAAGATCGTGGACATAATTTGAAGTTCAAAAAAAAACCAGTTTAACGCAGTAATTGAATGCGCACTAGACAGTTTCGGCATTTTCGATAGCTTTGATATTTCTCTTTCTCTTATCACCTCTCTATCTTATTTACAATAATTTTTTGAGTCGTGTTTTGTGTATTGTTAAGATCACGCGCTTACGACCGACCTTGAAGTGTGAGTAATAGTAACAATAATGGCAATAAAAATGAATTAATACAGTTAGAGTGAGTGAGTGAATGAAATATTAATTATGCACTTGCTGTACATATTTCCGAGTTAGCATTGGATGTTTATATATGTGATTCTGGCATTTTCAGTGAAAGCAAGCGTCATTTAATGGCATATAAATAAATATGTTAGAACATGCAATTTTACGCTAGAGCACGGGTCACATATATCGATTTAAAATGAAATTTATAAACTAAAGAGAAAGAAATTGAAATTTTTTAAAGCTTCAAAAACAGCACATATGTACGAGACTCTTTCATATTAGGTCATTATAGTGATTTAGCCCTCTCTGTGCATGTTTTTCCTTTCTTTCTGTTATCATTTTTTTATTTATTATTTTTTTGCTCGTTTCCAACGCACTAATTGAGGCCCATCATTATGAAATTTATAATCATTAATTTATAATGACTGAATGAGTCATAAAGTAAAGTTGATGTATCGATATTAGAATTTTGGATAAAAAATGTAGGCCGTTTCGTGCTGTATATCAACAATACATGAAGAAAATTACGTAAAATTTCACCGAATGATGATGATTTTTCCACCGCAAGAGTTTTTCTCACAATGGTTGATGGTTCCGAAATGATGATTTCATTTCTGCCTGCTCTGTATGATTACAAGATCTTGCGAAAAGCTTTACATCACTAATTTAACTTTGTTTATTAGAATATATTTAAAATCCAGAATTCTGAATGGATACGTTTGCAAAAATCATAATACTACTAATTTAGTGATGAATCGCTTCTTTTAAAAGAGATTCGTTCCTTTTTTTCTCGTCAGGTCCGCATTTATATTCGCACACTATAAATCGCTCCCTTAAAATTTTTCATTCGTAATTTTCCCCATAAATTCGCATATTTAATCTACTTTTAACACTTTATTATTGATTGTGGCTATATTAAGCTGCTAATTTCACGCAATTACTCAACTTTTGTATAGATTTTCACGTATAAAATGCTGTTTTAAAATGTTGCTCTTACCTTTTCGCATAAAATTTTGACTTGACTTTCTGTAAGCTGTTTGCATTCATTTAACTGCTCAATCCACGAATCTAGATCCTTTAGTGTTGTCTTATCTTCCATTATTTGTTATTCAGTTATACTTTAAACAATTAATTACTATTGAAAAAATGAAAAATTAAAACTTCTTTCAATTCAATCCGAATTTTTTTTAATGGCGACTAATCCGAATCTGTAGTAACGACAACCTCTCAAATTTCAACAACTTTTTTGCGTAGTTTTTTACCCCACATCTAATCCGAACTTAAAGTTTCCAACAAAACAAAGTTAATTATCAAAATATACACAAAAATAGCAGTTAATTAATAGAAAACTTAATTACATTACGAAGTAATCAACATAAAAGCACTTAATAGCTCATAATAAGCTGTTGAATAGTGGAAACCAGTGAAATATTAGTGAATTTTCATTTGGCGGAATTATTTTCGAATTAAACAATAATCCAACGGATTTTTTGTTTGTTTATAATCACAAAAAACATTAATTGAAGTACAAATTATATTGGAATGGCTTCATCAATACCATCGAAGATCTTCATTCAAGTTGAATCACAAGCTGAGCAGCAGGAAAACATCAAGAATACACGAAAAGTTTTCAATAACCTACAGAAACTTGGATCTCAAGTTGGAACTGACAAAGAGAACTTGATTGGAAGATCACCAGCCTATATCGCCAAAGAATCTCTCGTCAAGAAGGCTAGTCTTGACATGTAAGTATTATACAAGTTATTAATCTAGCTTTATTGTATAATTCTTAAAATTCTTTTCATCATCCAGTGAACAGGAAGTTAAGAGGAAGTCACCAGCACCAACGACGTCAAAATCATCTCAAACAAGTCCCGCGTTAGAACCAGGCAAGTCGATAACGACAGAAGATCTCACATCTGACAAGCCAGTTAATCAACATTATTGGGAAGTACTTGCTGAAAAGCGACGCGAGGCTTTACAAGAAACCCTTGTTGAGAATCAAGAATTATACGAGAGAATTGCCAATTTAGAAGATGAATTGAATCATTCAAAGAGTATGCTCGAAGAAGCACGCGATTTAGTGACTGTATTAACGGAAATGCTTGAAGAGAAGGAATCACCAAATGGACCTGCCAATAACTCCGTTGAGACAGAAGAACCTAGTGACACCAGTGGACTCGACTTTACCATATAAGCAATGCATTTAAAAGCCCATTGATTAGACTAAGTTCTTTGTTGTTTTTTTGGCTTTATCATTTTTTACATACCTCACGATTTATTATCCTTCTCTATGTATTTGCTTTTTGAGTTCATTGAATAAAACATATTTTTGATCATCCCGTTTTCATTGGAACCAAGTTTATGTGCTTCTTCTTATTTCAATGCTTTTTGTGTTGTGCAGAATCCTTTGAATACTATGATAAATTATAAATCGCGATTGAAATTCAACGTATTTTTGAGATTCAAATATTCTTACCCAAGTTTCAAACCTATTATTCAAAAAGTCTATTGACGTTAAAATTTAAATATCTAGAAATTGGTAAATATTGATTCTAGCTAGTTCCATTATTTAACGACTTGCTTGTGACCGACGCAATTTTGAAAAACCTTAAAACAGCATTTCTAGAAATGTGACTTAGAAACAAAATTAGGCATTGTTTTTGGGCTTTTTATAAACATTTATGATAATTATAGCTCTCGAAACTCAAAAATTGTGTCTTCTAAACTTTTTCATGCCACAGGTCGGTCACAGTTCATCGAATACTCCAGCATCAATGAACAATTTTAAGATAAGGATTATACATCATTTTCAAGGTCTTATAATAAGCTAGAAATAAATGAAAACAGAATGCAAAAATATTGATCCTGTAAAAACTTATAGCCATTTGAGTGACCAAAAAAGCATACAAAACGGGTTGTAAACGGTTTGTAAACAAAGGAAGGTGTTTCTTTAAGTCGTTCAAATTTTGTCACTTTTGGTTTTGATAGAAGTAGGCTATTTTCAAAAAAAAAATATCGATTTTGTATCTTTATTAGCATTCTTTATCATTTATAATACCTGGATATGTGTTAAAATGCAATTTAAAGCATTTTTGGTTTCGATCATAGTAGGCTATTTTCAAAAAAATATATTTTATATCAATATTAGCATTCTTTATCATTTATAATACCTGGATGTATTTTAAAATGCAATTTAAAGCATTTTTGGTTCTGATCATAGGAGGCTATTTTCAAAAAATGTCGATTTTATATCTATATTAGCATTCTTTATCATTTATAATACCTGGATATGTTTTAAAATGCAATTTAAAGCATTTTTGGTTTCGATCATAGTAGGCTATTTTCAAAAAAATATATTTTATATCAATATTAGCATTCTTTATCATTTATAATACCTATAAATGTTTTAAAATGCAATTTAAAGCATTTTTGGTTTTGATCATAGTAGGCTTTTTTCAAAAATATCGATTTTGTATCTATATTAGCATTTTTTATCATTTATAATACCTGGATGTGTTTTAAAATGCAATTTAAAGCATTTTTGGTTCTGATCATAGGAGGCTATTTTCAAAAAATATCGATTTTATATCTATATTAGCATTCTTTATCATTTATAATACCTGGATATGTTTTAAAATGCAATTTAAAGCATTTTTGGTTTCGATCATAGTAGGCTATTTTCAAAAAAATATATTTTATATCAATATTAGCATTCTTTATCATTTATAATACCTATAAATGTTTTAAAATGCAATTTAAAGCATTTTTGGTTTCGATCATAGTAGGCTATTTTCAAAAAATATCGATTTTATATCAATATTAGCATTATTTATCATTTAATATACCTATAAATGTTTTAAAATACAATTTAAAGCATTTTTGGTTTGGATCATAGTAGGCTATTTTCAAAAAAAATATCGATTTTGTATCTATATTAGCATTCTTTATCATTTATAATACCTATAAATGTTTTAAAATGCAATTTAAAGCATTTTTGGTTCAATCATAGTAGGCTATTTTCAAAAAAAATATCGATTTTGTATCTATATTAGCATTCTTTATCATTTATAATACCTATAAATGTTTTAAAATGCAATTTAAAGCATTTTTGGTTTCGATCATAGTAGGCTTTTTTCAAAAAAAATATAGATTTTGTATCTATATTAGCATTCTTTATCATTTATAATACCTATAAATGTTTTAAAATGCAATTTAAAGCATTTTTGGTTTCGATCATTGCAGGCTTTTTTCAAAAAAAATATCGATTTCGTATCTATAATAGCATTCTTTATCATTTATAATACCTGGATGTGTTTTAAAATGCAATTTAAAGCATTTTTGGTTTCGATCATAGTAGGCTGTTTTCAAAAAAAATATCGATTTTGTATCTATATTAGCATTCTTTATCATTTATAATACCTATAAATGTTTTAAAATGCAATTTAAAGCATTTTTGGTTTCGATCATAGTAGGCTTTTTTCAAAAAAAATATCGATTTCGTATCTATAATAGCATTCTTTATCATTTATAATACCTATAAATGTTTTAAAATGCAATTTAAAGCATTTTTGGTTTCGATCATAGTAGGCTATTTTCAAAAAAAATATCGATTTTATATCTATATTAGCATTCTTTATCATTTATAATACCTATAAATGTTTTAAAATGCAATTTAAAGCATTTTTGGTTTCGATCATAGTAGGCTATTTTCAAAAAAAATATCGATTTTATATCAATATGAGCATTCTTTATCATTTATAATACCTGGATGTTTTAAAATGCAATTTAAAGCATTTTTGGATTCGATTATAGTAGGCTTTTTTCAAAAAAAGTATCGATTTTGTATCTATATTAGCATTCTTTATCATTTATAATACCTATAAATGTTTTAAAATGCAATTTAAAGCATTTTTGGTTTCGATCATAGTAGGCTTTTTTCAAAAAAAATATAGATTTTGTATCTATATTAGCATTCTTTATCATTTATAATACCTATAAATGTTTTAAAATGCAATTTAAAGCATTTTTGGTTTCGATCATTGCAGGCTTTTTTCAAAAAAAATATCGATTTCGTATCTATAATAGCATTCTTTATCATTTATAATACCTGGATGTGTTTTAAAATGCAATTTAAAGCATTTTTGGTTTCGATCATAGTAGGCTGTTTTCAAAAAAAATATCGATTTTGTATCTATATTAGCATTCTTTATCATTTATAATACCTATAAATGTTTTAAAATGCAATTTAAAGCATTTTTGGTTTCGATCATAGTAGGCTTTTTTCAAAAAAAATATCGATTTCGTATCTATAATAGCATTCTTTATCATTTATAATACCTATAAATGTTTTAAAATGCAATTTAAAGCATTTTTGGTTTCGATCATAGTAGGCTATTTTCAAAAAAAATATCGATTTTATATCTATATTAGCATTCTTTATCATTTATAATACCTATAAATGTTTTAAAATGCAATTTAAAGTATTTTTGGTTTCGATCATAATAGGCTTTTTTCAAAAAAAATATCGATTTCGTATCTATAATAGCATTCTTTATCATTTATAATACCTATAAATGTTTTAAAATGCAATTTAAAGCATTTTTGGTTTCGATCATAGTAGGCTATTTTCAAAAAAAATATCGATTTTGTATCTATATTAGCATTCTTTATCATTTATAATACCTGGATATGTTTTGAAATGCAATTTAAAGCATTTTTGGTTTCGATCATAGTAGGCTTTTTTCAAAAAAAATATAGATTTTGTATCTATATTAGCATTCTTTATCATTTATAATACCTATAAATGTTTTAAAATGCAATTTAAAGCATTTTTGGTTTCGATCATAGCAGGCTTTTTTCAAAAAAAATATCGATTTCGTATCTATAATAGCATTCTTTATCATTTATAATACCTGGATGTGTTTTAAAATGCAATTTAAAGCATTTTTGGTTTCGATCATAGTAGGCTTTTTTCAAAATAAATATCGATTTTGTATCTATATTAGCATTCTTTATCATTTATAATACCTATAAATGTTTCAAAATGCAATTTAAAGCATTTTTGGTTTCGATCATAGTAGGCTTTTTTCAAAAAAAATATCGATTTTGTATCTATATTAGCATTCTTTATCATTTATAATACCTATAAATGTTTTAAAATACAATTTAAAGCATTTTTGGTTTGGATCATAGTAGGCTATTTTCAAAAAATATATCGATTTTGTATCTATATTAGCATTCTTTATCATTTATAATACCTATAAATGTTTTAAAATGCAATTTAAAGCATTTTTGGTTTCGATCATAGTAGGCTATTTTCAAAAAAAATATCGATTTTGTATCTATATTAGCATTCTTTATCATTTATAATACCTGGATATGTTTTGAAATGCAATTTAAAGCATTTTTGGTTTCGATCATAGTAGGCTTTTTTCAAAAAAAAATATCGATTTTGTATCTATATGAGCATTCTTTATCATTTATAATACCTGGATATGTTTTGAAATGCAATTTAAAGCATTTTTGGTTTCGATCATAGTAGGCTATTTTCAAAAAAAATATCGATTTTGTATCTATATTAGCATTCTTTATCATTTATAATACCTATAAATGTTTTAAAATGCAATTTAAAGCATTTTTGGTTTCGATCATAGTAGGCTTTTTTCAAAAAAAATATCGATTTCGTATCTATAATAGCATTCTTTATCATTTATAATACCTATAAATGTTTTAAAATGCAATTTAAAGCATTTTTGGTTTCGATCATAGTAGGCTTTTTTCAAAAAAAATATCGATTTTGTATCTATATTAGCATTCTTTATCATTTATAATACCTATAAATGTTTTAAAATGCAATTTAAAGCATTTTTGGTTTCGATCATAGTAGGCTTTTTTCAAAAAAAATATCGATTTCGTATCTATAATAGCATTCTTTATCATTTATAATACCTATAAATGTTTTAAAATGCAATTTAAAGCATTTTTGGTTTCGATCATAGTAGGCTATTTTCAAAAAAAATATCGATTTTGTATCTATATTAGCATTCTTTATCATTTATAATACCTGGATATGTTTTGAAATGCAATCTAAAGCATTTTTGGTTTCGATCATAGTAGGCTTTTTTCAAAAAAAATATCGATTTTGTATCTATAATAGCATTCTTTATCATTTATAATACCTATAAATGTTTTAAAATGCAATTTAAATCATTTTTGGTTTCGATCATAATAGGCTTTTTTCAAAAAAAATATCGATTTCGTATCTATAATAGCATTCTTTATCATTTATAATACCTATAAATGTTTTAAAATGCAATTTAAAGCATTTTTGGTTTCGATCATAGTAGGCTTTTTTCAAAAAAAATATCGATTTCGTATCTATATTAGCATTCTTTATCATTTATAATACCTGGATATGTTTTGAAATGCAATCTAAAGCATTTTTGGTTTCGATCATAGTAGGCTTTTTTCAAAAAAAATATCGATTTCGTATCTATAATAGCATTCTTTATCATTTATAATACCTATAAATGTTTTAAAATGCAATTTAAATCATTTTTGGTTTCGATCATAATAGGCTTTTTTCAAAAAAAATATCGATTTCGTATCTATAATAGCATTCTTTATCATTTATAATACCTATAAATGTTTTAAAATGCAATTTAAAGCATTTTTGGTTTCGATCATAGTAGGCTTTTTTCAAAAAAAATATCGATTTCGTATCTATATTAGCATTCTTTATCATTTATAATACCTGGATATGTTTTGAAATGCAATTTAAAGCATTTTTGGTTTCGATCATAGTAGGCTTTTTTCAAAAAAAATATCGATTTCGTATCTATATTAGCATTCTTTATCATTTATAATACCTGGATATGTTTTGAAATGCAATTTAAAGCATTTTTGGTTTCGATCATAGTAGGCTATTTTCAAAAAAAATATCGATTTTGTATCTATATTAGCATTCTTTATCATTTATAATACCTGGATATGTTTTGAAATGCAATTTAAAGCATTTTTGGTTTCGATCATAGTAGGCTTTTTTCAAAAAAAATATCGATTTCGTATCTATAATAGCATTCTTTATCATTTATAATACCTATAAATGTTTTAAAATGCAATTTAAAGCATTTTTGGTTTCGATCATAGTAGGCTTTTTTCAAAAAAAATATCGATTTCGTATCTATATTAGCATTCTTTATCATTTATAATACCTGGATATGTTTTGAAATGCAATTTAAAGCATTTTTGGTTTCGATCATAGTAGGCTATTTTCAAAAAAAATATCGATTTTGTATCTATATTAGCATTCTTTATCATTTATAATACCTGGATATGTTTTGAAATGCAATTTAAAGCATTTTTGGTTTCGATCATAGTAGGCTTTTTTCAAAAAAAATATCAATTTCGTATCTATAATAGCATTCTTTATCATTTATAATACCTATAAATGTTTTAAAATGCAATTTAAAGCATTTTTGGTTTCGATCATAGTAGGCTTTTTTCAAAAAAAATATCGATTTCGTATCTATATTAGCATTCTTTATCATTTATAATACCTGGATATGTTTTGAAATGCAATTTAAAGCATTTTTGGTTTCGATCATAGTAGGCTTTTTTCAAAAAAAATATCGATTTCGTATCTATATTAGCATTCTTTATCATTTATAATACCTGGATATGTTTTGAAATGCAATTTAAAGCATTTTTGGTTTCGATCATAGTAGGCTATTTTCAAAAAAAATATCGATTTTGTATCTATATTAGCATTCTTTATCATTTATAATACCTGGATATGTTTTGAAATGCAATTTAAAGCATTTTTGGTTTCGATCATAGTAGGCTTTTTTCAAAAAAAATATCGATTTCGTATCTATAATAGCATTCTTTATCATTTATAATACCTATAAATGTTTTAAAATGCAATTTAAAGCATTTTTGGTTTCGATCATAGTAGGCTTTTTTCAAAAAAAATATCGATTTCGTATCTATATTAGCATTCTTTATCATTTATAATACCTGGATATGTTTTGAAATGCAATTTAAAGCATTTTTGGTTTCGATCATAGTAGGCTTTTTTCAAAAAAAGTATCGATTTTGTATCTATATTAGCATTCTTTATCATTTATAATACCTATAAATGTTTTAAAATGCAATTTAAAGCATTTTTGGTTCAATCATAGTAGGCTATTTTCAAAAAAAATATCGATTTTGTATCTATATTAGCATTCTTTATCATTTATAATACTTAGATATGTTTTAAATTAACGTCCACAACACCTGGATCTGGAACGTGATTAGCAGACCCTTCAAGACCTTTTTGCCCAAAAACAGATACACGTTCATAACGAATACTATTCACTTTCTCAAAATTATAAAACCTAAGAATATTCCCGAACGTGAGGTTCTTGTGCTCATTTTTATAACACATATGTTGATGGCTCTCGTATCGAGATCATATCCTAATTCTACACATGTGGCACCGACTAAGAATAAAGAAAATAAATGTTTATATGTTATATCAATTTTAACCAACCCTACCTGATTTTTCATTGTGGACTTACTCACTGTGGACTTATTATTTATCGGTGCAATTGTCTACTATCGTTCCATTAATTAACGGCTGTTAAATATTCGAATAGTTGAGTAGCTGTGCATTACCCTTCGATCATCAAGAGTAAAATGAACCAAAAAACGGAAGATCCAAAAGTTAAGGAAACTATCAGCGATCCAGAAGAAGTTTCCGATGAAAATGTCGCAGAAGTAGACAATAAGAGTACAGCCAATAAGAAGAAAAAGAAAAAAAAGAAAAGTAAAGGTGAGAAATTGCAAAATTTTAACTTTCAATAATTTGTGCGCAAAAAAATGTGCAAATAAAAAATTCTTGATGACCTGATTACCATTTGCTGCTTAATTCAATAATGATTGACTTACTGTATGACTATTATACATAGCAAACAAGTTTATCTTTATTGGAAAGTCAATGAAATTGAGGTTATTGACTGCTATTGTCTATTTTTCAGCCAAACAATCGGAAAATAAAGATCCAGAACAAAATGATATCAAGGAAGAATCGACTAAAACTGAAGATCCAGTAAAGCAAAAGGAAGAATCATCTGATGAAGAGGATAATGCAGGCGAAGGAGGTGAAAAAAAGAAGAAAAAACGTAAGCGAAACAAGAAAAAGGCAAATACCGCAAATGGTAATTTAGGAATTGGAACCAAACCAGCAACTGCTGGATCTCAATATAATCAAACCAGTCCACCGTCAATTGCAATTATTGATCTATTCAAAGATGGTAAATATCCAGTTGGAGAAATTATGAAATATCCAGTTGATGATCGTACAGCAGTCGATAGATTTACTTCTGAAGAAAAAAAGGCAATTGATGCTACACAGGAAGATGTCTATAATGAATTACGTTTAGCAGCTGAAGCTCATCGTGAAACTCGTCAATATATGCAGAATTATATCCGTCCTGGTATGACAATGATTGAAATTTGTGAGGAACTTGAGAAAACAGCTCGATGCTTAATTAAGGAGAAGGGATTAGATGCTGGTTTAGCATTTCCAACTGGTGTATCAAGAAATCATTGTGCTGCACATTATACACCAAATGCTGGTGATCCAACAGTCTTGGAATACGATGATGTTGTAAAAATTGATTTCGGTACTCACATTAAAGGACGAATTATTGATTGTGCATTCACATTGGCTTATAATCCACGTTATCAGAAACTTTTGGATGCCGTTAAAGATGCCACTAATACTGGCATTAAAGAAGCTGGTATTGATGTAAGATTATGTGATGTTGGTGCTGCAATTCAAGAAGTTATGGAATCTTATGAAATTGATTTAGATGGAAAGACCTATCAAGTTAAAAGTATCAGAAATCTTAATGGACATTCAATTGCACCATATAGAATTCATGCTGGAAAAACAGTTCCAATTGTCAAGGGCGGTGACTCGACATTAATGGAAGAAGGTGAATTTTATGCAATTGAGACTTTCGGATCGACTGGAAAAGGTGTAGTCCATGACGATATGGAATGCTCACATTATATGAAAAGCTTTGAATCATCTTATCAACCATTACGCTTGCAATCATCTAAACAATTATTAGGAACGATTACGAAGAATTTCAGTACATTAGCATTCTGTAAGAGATGGCTGGATCGTTTAGGCGCAACCAAATATCAAATGGCATTAAAGGATTTGTGTGATAAAGGAATTGTCGAAGCTTATCCTCCATTATGTGACATTAAAGGATGTTACACAGCTCAATATGAACATACAATTTTATTGAGACCGACATGTAAGGAAGTTGTTTCACGCGGAGACGATTTCTAAGCCTGTACAAAATGTTTGCTGCCTAAGTTTCTTCATCGAATTATCTAATCAATTTTTGATTATGTTTTTCTGCGTTTGGTTCCTTCTGAAATGTCCTTAATGCAACATAATTCTGAATTATTTCATTTAAAAGTTTAAAAAACAAATTATCGTGTTAACAATTAAATTTGAGGAAAAAAGAAATAAAACAAAATATGCTCAAAAAGCGTAATTAATGGACTTTTTACTTACTTTCTAACCGTCATTCTCAGTTTAAATTCGAAGCCTTACAACAGTTTAATTTCAAAAGCCATACAAACGATTATAGCGATAGAGATGAGAGAAGGAAGGGAGTTACCAATACATACACAGATCAACAAAAACGCATTTTTTGTAATCTTTGAATTTAATTAAAGCTAAGCAACAATTAAGCATTTAAAGCTTATTTATACATATATTGGTAATTGGAAAGCTCGCACAAACCAAAATAATTGCAATTTCTTGAGTTTTGGTGTTGTTGATGCATAATTGAGTCCAAAATATTATTTTCATTAAATTTAGAACACATTTTAGCAAATTTGCATAAAGTTTACACAATAAAAGCAAATTTCATAGTTCTTGTGCATAACTGGACACATTTGAAGTATAAAAGAACCTAAATAGGTGGTTTATATTATTGAAACATCATATTTATTCAATTTAAAACGTGTATGTGCAGTAATCAAGACAATTCGTGGTTACACGGACGTTTCATAACTTTCAGTGAATTAGATTACGGTAGACCAAGTGGATACAACCCTGTATTAACTCAAACAATCACCTTAATACAGCAGTTTGAACCGAGCGTTAAAGACTTTAGACCAATTGCAATTCCAGTAACCCAGATATCAGATCCATTTGGGGAAGTAAGTTTTCATTCTAACCAAATTAACGGAATCATTTCAGCATTATCACTTACATTCCCCCAAATCCAAGCAAACTTTCCAAACTATACCGCTCCACGATATTACTTTAAGGGTAATTTTGAAACTCCTTAACAGTTTTAGACACAAAACCATATAAATGTTTTAAAATCTGTTGTAGCGTTCTCAAATATTTAATTTTTCCTGCAATAAATCACTAAAGTTCATGTAAAGTTCTTTGAATATTGTCACAACGAGCTTCTCAATTATCACAAATGTTCAATATCATCTGCAAAAAAACCACGAACATGCAATTATTCATCCGCTAATGCAAATAAAGCCTTATTGGAAGCATGATAAAAGCGAGAAGAATAAAAAATGCATTAAAATGCTGCACATTTGTTCATTGGCAATGAGCTTTGTCATACTCAACGCGACTTTATTGATTCTATTTAACATCATTAACATGTTTTCGACACACAGTTTCGTTTATTTGTAAAAATTATAGTTTTCATATCACTTTTTATATAATAATATAATTTTAGTATATATACTTTTTTTTTTGAGGACTTGACAGTAATTAACATTTTGTTTTGTATTCTTATCGAAAGCAATAGTCAATAGTGAATGCTTTTTTCCCTTGGAGGTCGTGCATAAATGACGTCAACCAAATTTTTCAGACCCTTAAATACTTTTTTTAAACTGTCAAACAGCAATCCCTTCCTAGAAATTCATGACGTCATTAATGGATGACCGCCTGCGTCATACACAACACTTTATATTTTTCATTTATAAAAGAGTGAATTCACATGAGTTAGATTAGAATTCGCGAGGTCACAATCAATATATCCAATACGTGATCGGCAGGCATATACTCTATACATATTCTAAGCGTTAAAAAATTGTAATTTACAAAAAGAGGGAGAGAGAGGAAGAGAGATGCTAATACTTTATAAAAATAAATAATCATTATTATCATGTCTGTTGAGAGCCTAAATTACAAGTTATTTCATGGTGGCTTGCTCTGTATTTTTGGACTAGATGAGTTTGTGGAATTTTCTGTATCATTTTCGATATTATTAATTATTTGTAAATGAACACAATCCTCCTGATTTTCGGGATCATTTTCTGGATTCTCGTCATCTTCCAACTGAACACTCGAATCTGGTGCTGACGGAATTGTTGGTAAGAATCTGACATTAAGACGTGGTGATGTCGGTTCTTGTGATTCATCATGAAATGCAGATTGACGTACTAAACGCGGCTTATTGCCTGATATTGATTGACGACTAGAATCTGTGGATTTAGAATTAAAAAATTATTTTATGATAATCACTAGTCGTAGAAAAACTTACTACAAGTAGAGAACGTTGGGATATTTAAGCCAGGAATTACAATATTTGATCCACTTGATCTTGAAATTCTCCATGTTGATCCACTCGCAGTTGTTGCTGTTGTATTATTAGAACCAGACGAATCATTTCGAGAGCTTGACAAGTTTGAGTCTTGTGATGTTTTTCGTGTTATCAGCCACGACGTATGCCTTCGTCTTGGATCTAATAATCTTAATGGTACACCACAATGATGTGGCGTACTTCCATGCTTCCACGAATCAGAACGTGATGAGCTGAAATTTCCATCACTTGATGACATTGACCCAGCTCGCTTATGATTCTTTTGTTGTACTTCAGCAATGTGATAAGAATAATCCATATGACGATGATTCCGTCGTATATTGAGATTTTTAGAATCACTACAAAATAGGCGTTTCCAAAACCTTGCAAATAAACTCGGTTGCGCTTTTTTCAATTGACGCTTTACTTCCTCATGATCAATAACTTTTCCACGATTACAAGTACAAGCGTGTGCAGGAAGTAGTGGAGGTAGAGCACCGTCTCGAGATGATCGTTCATTTAATGAGTTTGTATTGCCTGGCGTTTGTCGATTTGAAAAGTTGGAACTATGGCGACACCTCCCAATACCACGAGTCACCCGTGACTCCTCAATTGCCTTACATAACATTACACAATCTTTTTTAAATTGCTTCGTAAGAATCGCATAGAGAAATGGATTACAGCATGAGTTTAATGGCAGTATGAAGACGGTAAAAACTTTTGCTTGTTCCAATGTAATTAATTGCCATCCGAGGACTGCAGCGATTGAGAAGAAGGCAATGGGTGACCAACATAAAAAGTCTGTAAATACTAATAAAGCCATTCGTTTAGCAATCCTTGAGTCATTAGAATTCCATGCCTGTGAGCCACGAATTGCACAATACATTTTCAAGTAGCATCCCATCAATGTGAGGAACGCAACTCCATTTATAAACATTAAAAATATGACGTAGGTTAAACTCCCGTAGCCTTTATAGACTTCCATTGGCAAACATACGGAATACTTCCGATAATCGGATACACCGAATAGAGGTAATACGGCCATGGTCAAGGCAAATAACCAGCCGACACTCATAATGTAGCTTGCATGTCGTAAAGATAATCTCTTATTCAAGTGCATTGCATGCGTAATTGCATAATTTCTCTCTAAAGTAATTACTGCTAATGTGTATACTGACAATTCTGACGAGAGCACAGCCAAAAAGCCACTTAATTGACATCCAACACTCATTTGCCATCGTATAGCAAACATCCTAAATTCACCTAATGTTGATGCATCAACCACAGCCAAAAATCCTAAATAGACTCCCATAAAAAAGTCAGCAGCAGCTAGATTACATACTAAAAATCTCGGCACATCCATTTTCGATCGTGAAAATATTAATACAAATACAACGATTCCATTGCCTAATAATGCTAATAGAAATACAACCCAGACACCACATCGTAATGTCCACCAATCAAATAAATCCTCACAAGGTAGGAAAGGTCCAGGAGTCGGTAGACATTTCACTAGTGTTGGACTTGATTCATAGACACTTAGAATCCTCGATTCCTCACCACTATAAAGTTCATTCTCGTCTGGAAAATTTGTAATGCTCGGATATCCAAAATCCGCATAGGGGTTAGAATATGACTGTAAAATGTCATTCATCTGGGACTGAAATGCATTAGTAACATTTCCATTTAAGTCTGGCCATATATCATTAATTGAGTTGTTCCACATAGACATGTCAAATTTCTCGTCTGTTGGAAAAAATACTTCTTCTTTATAAGGACTTTCGATAACCTTCGAGTTACTCGTCAGCAAAGGTAAGAATGCACAGCAATGGTAGGCGTATGATAAAATTAGAGTTCGTATCCTTGGAAATTTTTCAATCGCTGGAAAAATCCTTAATCGTGGATTATTAAAAGTTTTCAAATGTAACAGACGCTCAAGGCCACTTGTCGGTAATGAGGAAAAGATGTTGTTTCCAAGATTTCTATTTAACAAAAACGGAACAAGAAATGGAAGTATAAGAAGAAGGAATGAGAATACTTAAGAACACCAACTGCCGTAATTTTTTTGTTTCTGCTAAACTTACAAATCTTCCAACTGAGTGAAGCCTGAGAAAGCTTTTTCGTGAACGAAATTGATGTTATTTCCTTCTAGATTCCTATTAAGACGTGCAAATAGAATGGAATTAGATAAATATTACTCAAAATATATTTTATTAGCTGATGCCATAATGGAAGGGAAATATTGAATTAGTTATGGAAATTTGAGGAGAATGGGAAGTAAACTTACAAAGTCTGCAATTTTTTCATGCCGTTAAATGCGTCATATGGAATTGTCTCAATTTGATTATACGGTATTAGGAGATCATGTAGTTGACCTAAATTCTCAAATGGCTTATTATGAATGGACGAAATTTTATTTGATGCCAAATTCAATAGCCTCAATTCGTGACACTGTCTTAAATTTGGAACATGTCTCAACTTGTTGAATTTTAATTCTCTGTATAAATAAATAAAATAGAATGAAAAGGAAGAAGGACATGAACAACAAATAATAATAAAGATAAATAAGGTCAGACGGAAAGCAAATTAATTGCAATAGCAGAAGAACTTACAAAGTTTTTAAACGTGGCGAGTGAGTGCACAAGCTATCAGGAATATGAGTCAAGTCAGAGTGATCAACTCGAAGTATTTCCAAGGAAATGCAACCCTCAAACGATGGCAATTCATTCAAATTGCGAGCATCCGATAAAACTCTGTTGATGGGAAAATAAGTACACAGAGAAATTAATACAAGAGCTTAATAATGATCATGTCGTGCATACTTACAACTTTTTCAATTTCTTTAAATTTCTTATGGCACTTTCATGGATGTTCTTCAATGGATTGGCTCGCATTTCAAGAGTCAACAGACTTGATGGCAAGCTTCCATGTGAGATGGTCATTATCTTATTATTTGAAAGCGTTCTGTTTTCATTTTTTAAATATCATTCAAGGAATGGAAAAAAATAAAAGAATTTTAATTAATTGGAAGTAGAAAAATTCATGCATTAAGATATGAAATGGATCTAAGTACTCTCGATTGGGTTTTCATGCGTCAAGAACTACTGAAAAGCAGAATACGCTGTTTAAAATTAGCTCTCGATTTCTAATTTTAAACATTTGTTTACAAACAATCCAAAGTTAAGATACTTTACTAGTTTGTAGATCAAATCAAGCTTAATGGAAGTCATTATAATGATAATTCAATGCTAATTAACATGATAATTGATGATTGAAAGATCTAGTGCCGATTAAATTAAAAATTGAAAACTAAAAGTTCCACATCAATCAAGAGTACGTAGAATAAAGAAATTATGAGGCAAGTCAAGTAAATAAAATGAAAATTAATAAAAAGAAAAAAAGTAATAAAGTAATAATAGAATGCAATTTACAGCTCTTGTAACTGGGTCAAATTTTTCAATCCACTTGATAAGGACTCGAGTTTATTGTCATCTAGATCTCTGCATTCATATTTGTGGCATATGTTTATCCATGGCATGGCAGTAGAATATTATGTAGATGAAAGAAAAGCAAAAGCCATTAATTTACAATTCTCTCGAATAAAATTCAAAGGAATAACACTGAATATGAAACTCAATGTAATAATGATGTTATTGTTTAAAGCGTACGTGTTCATACTTACAGTACTTTTAACTTGGAAAGATTTCTGAAAACACCCGATGAAATTTCTCGTATTTGATTACGTTTGAGGAACCTATTATAAATGCACAGAATCAAATTTAATTTCAATCATACGTATATGCACAAATACTCAATTTGTATGCATATAAAGCCATACATATGAGTTTGTAGAAAAGTTTCAAGGCACTTACAAATATTGCAAAGTTTTTATCACTGGAAAATCTTCGTCATCGAGTAGAGTAAGACGATTATTAGCCAGATTTCTGAAAATGGAAATTCAAAATTGCTTACATTTATTCTTGACATTTTACTGTCTAGTTCTATTTCTAATTATCTTTGTCTATTTCATATTTAATATTCACATGCTTAGAAAAATTACTGATCATTTTCCAGATTAATGCAGTCACTAATTCTTTTTAATTTCTAGCTCTATTGTTTCTAGTTAAAAACAAAAATAAAGTTGTTATTTTAAGCGGAAGTTAGTCAAGTTAGCAATAAATTTCTCAGTGTTATTTTGTTTATCTTTTATGCAATGCCAATCGAGTAAAGCTACAAAAAAATATTAATGAGGTTTTTCTCGTTAACTTTTAAGTTAATTTTGGTGTTTTTTTTTATATTCACACCGTTTTCACGTGTGAATCTATTGGTTTTGTTCAGATTGAAAAATCAGTTTTTCGCATTTTGTGAGAAAACAATGCAAAATTGGTTATAAAAGGTCACAGAAGAAAAGTTTGTGCCTGAAATTTTACATCATTTTCAAAAAACAGATTTCAAATTGGTTGTGCCATTGCTGAGAAAATCGCAAAATAAGCTTTCTGTAAGCAAACAAGCAAGCAAGCAAGTTAATCAGCAAGAAATCTCAATAACGAGACATTGTAGAGACTTCTAGTTTTTTACATTTGATCCGTGCTGCTCTATAGAAGGGCTGTATTGTTTTTGGGCAAGGTAGGAACAGCCGTTGCTTCAGAAAAAGCAAAAAACTTTCCTTTCTTACGAATTTTTCAAATTAAAAGTTTACTGTGATTTTTTTTTATTTTAAATTAAACTTTGGATGAAAAAAATTTTTTTGAGCAAAGAACCAAGAAGGAAATATATTTTCAATTTTGGACTAGAGGCGACCCTAGTCAAAATCAATTTTGTCACTTTTTTCTTCGAGGGTTTATCCAAATGGATTGAAACTTTGCATAAATATTCTAGTGCTTAAAACAAATACAAATAAAACATCCCAAAATTTTTTTGAGCGAAGAACCAAGTAGGAAATACATTTTCAATTTTGGACTAGGGGCGACCCTAGTCAAAATCAATTTTGTCACTTTTTTTTTCGAGGGTTTATCCAAATGGATTGAAACTTTGCATAAATATTCTAGTGCTTAAAACAAATACAAATAAAACATCTTATTTTTTTGAGCAAAGAACCAAGTAGGAAATACATTTTCAATTTTGGACTAGGGACAGGTCTAGTCAAAATCTAGTTTTTCACTTTTTTTCTTCGAAGGTTTATCCAATTACAGTGAAACTTTGTGTGAGTATTCTTATATTTATACAAAACAGTTTTAAATATCTAAAGCAAGAAATGTATTCTATATGTCGTCAGACCCAAATTTTATAAATTTGGTTGTACATTCAAAAAATATTTATGCAAAAATTCAATCCATTTGGATAAACCCTCGAAGAAAAAAGTGAGAAAATTGATTTTGACTAGGGTCGCCCCTAGTCCAAAATTGAAAATTGATTTTCTATGGTGTACTTTTGTCAAAAAAATTTTTTGGATGTTTTATTTGAATTGACATAATTCTGACATAAATCACATACCAATATTACTTTTTGTAATGCATAGCTTAAAAAAATCGAAATCTAAAATTTCGACTACCCCATCTGAATTTTGTTCATACTCTTCACTGTGGAAACCAAAAAAAATTCTCTATCTTAAAACACTTGACAAAATAGCGACATAATTCAGGATTAATTACTTTTTAATAACATTTTCACATTTAAGAAAAAATGTGGTTCAAATAAGTGTGAAGTATGGCCGAGATTTGGACCAAAATCAGCTATACTGGTTCATAGTGTTCCCTAGGATGACAAAATTCAAACCAAGTGTTTTTGTAGCTGACATAATTATGACATAAATTAGGCATATCTTTTGAACTGTGTCGATATGGGTCTCGGCCGTACTTCACGCCCACCCTTCAAACTTATGCTGAGCAAATCTTGGTCTATCCATAAGAATTTTGATGGTACGGTGTGAATATATCCGCATTGGGTTTCTACCCGATACACTAGTTAACATAAGGAAATGAGGAAGGAAACAAAGATAAACTAGTGACAAAAGAAATAAAGTAAAACTAGTAACATGGTCGTCAGAAGTGGATGACTTTGACGCATTTTTGCTTAACTTTTATATCAATTATGGATCGTATATTGATTTTAGAAACGTAACCCTTCAGCTTTTTGACGATTACTTCAAAATTTCTCAATTTAATTCATCAATTACAATTTGTTTATCTAGCCAGCTAAAGTTTCAGACCCTTCTTTATTATCAGATTTTAACTCCTTTTTAGTCTTCAACCACTTTCAGTCTGGCTACTTGTCTGGAACGTAGAATATTTTACAAGGGCGTGGAATAATTAAAAATAATCAACAAGTTTGATCAAAAAATTGTTAAAATTAATCAAAGTTCGATTTTTCTGTTCAGTATCCTTATTGTTGTACATAAAAACCTTAAAATGGTCTAGAAAGTTGTTGTAATATATTTGAACTAGCTGCATCGATCTTTAGCAGCAAAAAAAGTCAAATAATTAGTGAACCATTAAATTAAGCACCAGAATGAAGAAATGACTCTCCAAAATAAATAAATCATAATTTTCTTGGCAACGTGCCTTTCAAATTCTTCTCATTGCCGCCATCAATTTAAAAAAAAGCTCACATTTCAACCTAATTACAATCTAATTTTCGAGATCTTAGTCATAATAACCTCAAAAATCCATCCCTAAGTCACAAGTTCAAAATGAAGTTAAAGCTCAAAATGTTTTCAAGTCTTGCAAAAATGCGCCAAAATTAAAGAAACAGAAAAAGGAAAGTTTGGTTCTCATAGCTTCACACTTTTCTTTTATGTATCATCTCATTACTTACAAAGCTTCCAAAGTTGCTGATAAACCAATTGTTAAAAGTTTTGTTGGAACACGTTTCAATAAATTTCCTTCTAAACGTAAATTTTGCAAACTATGAAGATGACTTAGTGTAATGTTATCAAAAGTTTCAATTGCATTGTAGTCTAAATGTCTGTTGAAAATGAGAATGAAAGTGGATTTTTTTTGCATATTTTTTTATCCTCAAAATTAGATTATGAATGGTTCTTAATGTGGGGTTGGGGTTTCTTTTGGTGCAAGTGAGGGAATGAGAATGGTGATGATAATGATATGGTGATAAAGCTTAAGTGCTATTTTTTGCTCTTTTACTTATATATAGCTATATATAGTAATATTAAATTGAGTTAAGCAGAAAAGTGTTGTAAGTGCAAAATTTGTATGTGATATCAGAAATACAAACTCAAACACACAGTCACAAAACAATCTTCTTTTTTTTCATTTTATATACAATTCTGGCTCTTTTGTGAGCTGTTAATGATAAAAATGAAAATTGTGGGAAAATGAGCTTTTAAAATGTTCCCATAATGTGCCATTTTCAATGGTGTTTGTATGCTTTTTTTTCGTTTACGGACGAGAAACAATTTATTTTGCTGATAAGTAACAAATAAGAATAATTTGAGTGCGAGTAAGAAGCATGAAAGCGCATTTTCTCAAATAGTTTTAAGAGGTCATTCACTTATGAAGACTTCCATTAACAGAAAAGACCGAAGAGTTTGAGATTTTGTGTCACGATCACAGTATATCCAGAAGTGTTTTGAGCACGAACCCTTTCCCTGGATACGCCCTTGCGCTCCTGAGTGTTTCTCAAACTTTTAAGGTAGTTGAGCAGTAAATAATCTGTTCATCATTCCTAGGCACAGGAGCTGCTACTTTTAAAACTCCCCGAAAGTATACTGTTCTGTGGATCACAGTTTGAGAACTACAAAATCTCAGGTCCCCCTCCCAGTCTTATCCATGTACTTCATAAATGAAGACTTATCTGCTTAAGCTTGTTAATAAAGGTCAAAAACTAAGGTCAATCGACAGACAGACCAATAACAAGCACCTTTAAACAACAAGAGAAATTGCGTTTATCAAGGAAAATAAACTTCTCACATTTCTGATATGTTTATGGTGAGAAGAAGTAAAAAGAAATGAAAAGGAATATGGAAAAAGAAATACTTAAAGGAAGTAGAAAAGAAGAGGAATAAAAAGATTTTGGTAATAAAATCACATGCTACTTACAACGACGTTAGACTTTTGATACTCTCTAATGCTTCAGTTGGAAGACTCGTGAATCCGCAACCTTGTAGCACCAAGCGCTTCAAATTTTTCAAACCCAAAAAGGCATCAGATTCTATTGTGTGTAATTTATTATCTGACAATATTCTGTGGGAAAAAGATATATACAGCAATCATAAATAAATAAAAAATATTGGAAATGAGAAATGGGAAAAAATTTATTATGATGTTTAATTCATGAGAGAATAGCCTTTTTGGTATAACTCATAGCTCATTTTTAAAATTGATGGATACATTTATTGATGAGATTTTCATCTAAGCTGTTAGGAAGGTTCCCAACTGATAAATTGGATTTACGGCTTTTGTTGATTTACAAAATGATTCTCAGAATAAGAATTATGATAAAATGTTAAGTGATTTGTGATACTTATGTAGGCTGAAGGTTGTGAGATTTTGATTTCTTGGAATTGAGAACTATGAAGGTTTTTAAAATGAGCAATTTCTATTTTTTGCGCATCTATGCTAATTAAAAAATTGATTTTAACATCAAAAATTATAGATTTGCTAATGCTTAATTGATATTATAGTTTTAAGACTATACTATGGACGTGAAAGGAACAATATAAATTTAAGAATCAACCCAATGAAATTTGTCAATCTTAAACAACATCAGAATCTACATTTCTGTTAAAATAAACCAGAAATTCTTAGTAAGGACGATAAAATCCAGAAAAGTCTGCAAACTAGTTCAACTTAACATTCTTTCACAAAGGAATTTATTTTCCTTTAAGAATGGATTTTTCTCTTTAATCACAGAAAACTTTCAAACTTCTTTGTTGTTCTATCAAGTCACTCTATAAATATTTCCCCTATAGCCTGAACCTATCACAAATCGCATTACGCCCACAAATTTCCAAACAAAAAAGCTTTCAACTATAAATCTAAGTTTATGAAAACTTTCTTGTTCTTATTATTGCCAAAAAAAACTTATTTAAGGAGATAAAAATTACTCTCTGATCTATCCTCCCGAAAAGAAAAAGAAAGTTTGGAACCTCTTATCTTGCATTAGCAATACATGTAGTTCTAAATGAAACATCTTAATACTTACAATTCCTCTAGCATCGGTAGCATTGTGAACGAATGATTTTTTAATACTGTTATGTTGTTACTTCCCAAATCTCTGTGGATATAATGAAAATATAAGAAAATGTAAAGGGATAAATATAATATGGACATGAAGGAATGAAGAAAAGTATAAGTTAACATAAATTTTTTAAAGCTTAAGTTTTCTTATTTGAATAATAAAATATTCATGCTTTTCAGCAGCAATACCTAGAGTTGTTCAGTTAACATTTTGGTGATCAAAATTTATCAAAAATGTTCAAAACATAATTAATCAGTACCGCATTCTTGATTTGAGATCAGTCAGAAGCACAGACTTAAATAAAATCGTTTATATTCGGGTTTTGAAGATTTTCTTGAGATTTTAGATTAAAGATTCTGGAATTTCCAGCTTGAACTTAGCTCCCTCAAATCCACAAAGGACTATATTCTGGTCACAATGTTCCTTGTATTATCAAACACAGTTTAAGTTTTCTGTTGAATCAACAATTGTCTGTCCAATTTCTTTCAGTCTAAGCAGCATCTTTAGACTTATCACAATCACCAGATCACCACCTCTGTCAAAAAAGTGCTTCTTTTGGCGAGCGAATGAATTATAATAAATGGACATGCACAACTTTCTTCATTTCTAACACTCTGTGCTTTATTTCACATACATAAAATTGCAACAACAGCAGCAGCCAAGCTAGAAATATAAAAAATTTATATTTACAATGCCTCGGAATGCTTTATCGTGCAGATGACATAAGAACTGTGCATTTCCAAGTTTCTTTTTGAGAAATCATTGACACAATTTTTCAAATCCTTTGCCTGACTTGTTTGACTCATTCTTATTCAAATTTTTGTGTGCTTTCCCTCAAACACTCCCATCCATGTCTCCATTTTTCATCATTTTAATAACTTGGTTGCATTTGTGGAATCATAAAGATCTAACCAGATGGACTTTTTTTTTCTAGTTGACAACCGCATGTCAAGTTTGTTTCGTCTTCAATTTCCATAACATTTCTCATATCTGAATATATATTTCAGTTCAAGGAAATGAATAGTCTTTAAGGAACATAAACTAGATGTGTATATCTGGCAAGAGCTTTCGATCAGACCAATTGCATGTCTTTTATCGTAAATCCAATGTTATCACACGATTTGAAATCAATGACAAGAAAAAATGAAGACACAAAGTATTTTTTTCGAATATGAATTTTTGGAGTGTAATCAAGCAACAGCAAGTAACGAAAACAAACTTTCCCCATCATGCATTGCTTTTTTGCACATTGTAAACTGCATTTAACCTAAATTAAATGTCGTAAAATGCAAAATTTGCAAAACTTTCAATTTTTTTTTGCTTTGCTGCTTCCTTATTTTTTGTTCTACTTGAATGATATGAAAAATTGTGATTGGAAATTTTTTTTTTCGGTTCTGGTTGTGCATATAACTCATGCTGAATGATAAAATATAGATATGTGTATCAGTTCCATACTCTCATTCTCACAATGAGCTTTTTTTTATTTCTCTATTTTTTTATTGCTGCTTCTTTTGTTGTGGCAGGGATGGGAGGTAGACAATTCTTATAATAAGGAGTGTAAGGGTCCAATTCTTTAAGTTTTCTGTATTAATAAAGTTAATTAAAGACTCCTTACGGATTTGTAATTAATAACAAGCGGCCTGTTTCACTAAAGTGGATTATCCTCGATTTCGGATTATCCACTTCAGTTTTTTGGAAATATCTCCAGATGCTTAAGGTTATTAAGAGATCTAATGTGTGAATTAGTTAGAGTATTTTGATACTTAAATTAACATAAACTTAGAATTTTTATATCTTCACTAGTTTGAGAATTATAGCAAATATCGAAGATAATCTACTAGATTTGGCTAGAAAATTGAATAATTAATACTTCTTACCGAAAATCAAAAGTTTAAAGTGTACAGAAATTTCAGGCATACTTCACTTTATTATAATCCAAAATTAGAAATACCACACCTCCCATAAAGTTTAAGATATTTACAAAAAACTAAAGTGGATAATCCGAAATCGAGGATAATCCACTTTAGTGAAACAGGCCGAAGATGTTTATTGTTCGATAATTAGAAACAGAATAAATATTTGTATGAAAGGGGTTAACAACTATACAAGGGGAAATTAACTTATTATTGTTGCACACATAATTCGAATATGAAATGACCGTTAATATTTTCTCAACAGAAACATATCAATGATTTTTTGTTACGCAAGGATTCAACCAGTAATCAAGACTAATTTTAAATATGATGCTTTAAAAGCTTGTTCTTGATTTTCATGATCCTAAATCAAGCCTGACTGGCACTTAAAGCCCTGAACCCCTCCCTGTCTCCCACAAAAACTCAAAATGATTCATCTCAAATTGAACAGTTTAGCTTCCTCATTTTATGAAAAGAGAAAAAAAGTTATTGCTGTACATACATCCTCGATCCACCAGAAGAATAAGAAGAATAACTAGAATAAGATATATTGCATGATACCCATTTCAAAATAGATATATGTGAAATAGATTTTGATGGTATATAGACGAGAATTGCAACGACAAGGATGCTGAATGAGATTCAACACAGAAAAGTATAATCTCGAATTAAACTAAATTAAAATGACAGCTCGTGATGTAAATTGAACATGAAAGATTAAATTAAATTAGTTGTAAATTGTTTATGAAAACATTTTTTTGAGCAAATTTTTCTCTGAGGAAAATAATGAGCGTGTTATTTGTGAATTATTCTTTAGTTCCTTCATTGCTGGCATATTGGTCTGTTAAGATAATAAATTGTAAATTGACCATACAACTGACATGCGTTAGGGTTATCCATTAGACTTGTATAGAAACTTTTATAACAATGAATAGTTCTGTTTTAAATTAATATCTTAAGGATCGAATGTCTAGTTGGTTTTAAGAGAAGATGAATCAGATGCCAACCTTCAATTTGCTAGGGTTTAATTTCCAAACAATGAAGCAGAGGCTGCCTTAGCCTACTTTTTGTACAATGATCAGAAATATTTCGCACGTAGCACTCAGCTATTCACTAAAACTTGCTCTTTAAAAGTGCGCTGAATTCTTCATGTTCATTATTACAGAAATTTTCTAGACTCTTTATTTATATTTATTCGACGTAGGAGTGTGAAAACAGATACAAAATGAGAAAGAAATTAAATGAATAGGAAAGAAAAATCTGTAATTGGGGTGAAGGATGCAGGAATTAAAAGTTTCTTTTTTTATTCCATAAAAAAGAAAATAAGAAACTTTATCTTTACTCTTTTACAGCATTTATTATTTTTTTATTGTTGCTGTTTCTGCTGTATTTATTTTGTGTCGATGAATTTACGGCTCTAAACGATTTTGCAAACCATATTCCAAGACGACGACTAGGCAGGGAAAATATTTTTCAAGGACTTTTACTAAAGAAAAGCATCGTCTTTTGTTCTTTTGAGTTGGGACAAAATAATAAAAACACATGAAGCGTATAAAAGGATTTTGGCAGCTCAATTCAGTCTCTTAAGAAGGATATCTACTTGTGAAGGACAACCACATCTTTAATGATGAAATTAAGCTCTTCTTTCGTTAATAGCTTATCGTCCGTATAAAATATTGAGATGATTTAGGATGAAATTTATGATTCTCATTTGAAATTGGTCATTTAAATATAAAGCTTGAATATGTCAGGCATTGAAATTTATTGCTGTTGTATGTGCAATCTAAGCAATGTCGTAGCTCATGGGATGTCGATAATAAAGTCGAGATGACCACGTTTGAATGATCCTCTAAAAATAAACACTCTATAAGGATGGATATACATGTAAATAGCTGTAATATAACATTCAGCATATCCTCATCGTATGAATTTGAATCGCTTGTAGCCATAATACCCAGAAAGTGCTCTACAAATATCCTTCATGTAGAGAGCAACACAGCCATATTGATTTCATCACGCATTTCCTTTATTACAGCACTAGATACATACTTCACAGCTCGTAATCTTTCTCTCGTTTTGTTTTTATTCCTTCACTTCGCACCCGGACGACATAAAATAGTGTAGAAGAGCATCAATTCTGTTACTGAATGTATGTAGAGCTATATAGCCATGATATGTATGTTGTGTTAGAAAATAACAATAAATAAACAGTAGAATGTACTATATTCTGCTGTAATGGAACAAGCACTGGATCGTATGTATGAGAATTTTTCTTGGTAAACCAAATTAAGTTGCAAACAATAAGTGAGATGTGAAGATTTTTTTTTTCTCAATCAGGAAAGTAAAGATAAAAAAAACCGTACGTGATGTGTCGTCGGTATGTGTGCTCAGATAATAAACAGAAGCAGTCAATTTTTAAGAAGTTTATAATCATAAAAATTCAATATAGAGTAAGGAGGTTTTAAATATTAATGAATATTTGATTTTGTCATGGATGAATAGAACCTTTTGCCTTAGAAAACTTTAAAGACTTAAAGCTCAATAATTTATTTTTAAATACTTTTAACTGCAAGTGCTCCCCAATGTTCATCAGACTGGGGATTTGCGTCTATAAACATCCTAAATCTACTCAATCTAATATGAAGTATTTGTGTTCATTAAACTAAGGTCTTTAAATCTGTCTCAATTTCATTCAACGCTGCAGATTCTTAATCATAATATGCATAATCAGTAATAATCCTTAAATAGTTATCCTGAAGACACACAGACACTCATCTACAAAATCAAGTAAACTGTAAAAACTGAGATTATTATAACATCTAAATCCATACATAGCTTTCGGAATTAAGATCCACATTAATGTGTTTTTAACCCACCATGTGATATCAATAATGATGGAAAAGCAGAGGAGAGCAATGAAAACTTTTTTTGTTACAGTATTGTGTGACAGAAGTACTTCATAGCATAATAACAATAAAGCAAATACACAACAAGAAAGCTATGGATTTTTATACAATTTAATCTCCTAGAAAAAGGCAAAAAATAGACGATGAACGATTTAGTTGATGTTAATACCATGAGAAAATGTTATATTATGCGTATAATCCCACATTGCATTTTGCCAAACTGTTCCCAGACAAATAAAACTTCAAGCATCCATAAAAAATACTCTATCGTCTTCCATTCACATTTTTAACTTGAAAATCATGATTTTCTTCATTTTTCTTTTTTTTTTGGATAGCAAATAATGATAATAAAAGAATTTATCGCACTTGAATTCACTTTAAGGAGATTCTTCTACAGCATTTATGATTTTCACGTTTTTACATTCTCAAGATTGCCTTTTTTTTTGAAAGATAGAGAGAAAACTTTTCATCGGTGTGTGTCGCGTGTATGAGAAATAAGGATGGTAAGATAGCGACTTGAAATATCTCTCAGCTAGAGTTTTACAAATGTTCTATGTAAAGAAGCTATTAAGATGCATCTAGGTGGAAAAGATGCTAATATGACAAAAAATTTCCTTTTCTTCGCGCATTTTCACTCTCGAGGGTGTAATTTTTCATAAATGCAAGTAAGTTAAGGTAAATTTGCTTTTATTGACACTTTGACTTGATGAATTTAATGTTGATGGATTTTAGTGTGTCTTGAGGGGAATAACATTGTAGTTATTGACATTTATAAGTTTATTGGTGCTTGAAAGATTGATTGTCAATTTGAAATGAATTATGAAATTTAATCGTGCATCATAAATGCATAAAATAAATCGTTATCTTGCATTTCTGAAGAAATAATTACTTTTATTTTGGTCCGCTTCCTTTGACATTGATATTGACATTTCTTTATGGATTGATAAGTGAAATGCGATCTAATTTGATCAACGCACAATGATTCAGATTCGGAAAAAATTGTTCAAAAATTCAAAAATAACATATTAATTAAACTTCATCTTTTAAATGCCAGATTAAAGATCTTAACTTAAAGCATATTCAGTGAAAATATCTTGTTTCAATTTGATGTCTAACTCCAGAAATCTTTAATTTATTTTCAACAACAATTTGTTTACAATTTGTATATGAAAAAAAAATTCGATTTTCTCTACTTTAAGTTGTTATTTCCATATCTTGCTAGCTGTTGTTTGCGAAGTTAAGCTAAGATTTGCATATTAAAACTACCAAATCAAAAGAAAACTGCTTATTAAGTCTTAAAAATGCTATTGAAATTTGAGTATTTTTTCAAAACTTAAACTATTCATAAGGTAAAAAGTCTTCCAAAGACCTCTCTGAAACCTATATAAATCAATTATTTAAGCTTAAATCTATCTCTCAGACTAATATGGTCATGCCGTTTAATGCCGTTTTCGAGATATTTGCGTTCAAAGTTTACATAAATTTTCATACAAAATTTGGACATGCACAATATTTTTGGATAAACGTTTACATACTTTTGCTAAAAAAATCATGTTTATCCTTTATATTATGGACTGAGTTTTTGAGCAATTAATGAAAACATTATGTAGAAGATGCTAAAAGAATCAAATCAAAAGAAATCAACAAAAACTTTCAATTTTCTAATGTGTCAGAAAAATATTGTGCACATGGAAATTTTAAACACTTTTTTCGAATCTGAATCATTGTGCAATGATGTTTGAAACCTTAAACTTACCAAATAGTAAACAATCAAAAGTTTTTAAAAAATTATCTATAAACCTTTAATCTAGCACTATAAAATGCGTTGTTAACTTATACTTTCATCATACTTGATATTCCTATTCTCCCTTATGAACTCGACTTGCTTATTCACATAGTAAGTGAACAATGAATAAATGGATTTTGTTTTTAAAAAATTCATAAGTTACTTACAATTTTATGATCTCCTCAGGAAGATTCTGTGGAACGGTTGTAAATCGAGTGTGTCGACAAATGAGCGAAACTTCCTCCGATGTTCCAGTACATGTACAGCCTTTAGCTTTCCATGGATCACAAATTTCTTTGAGTGTTTTTCCCAAGTCACCATATTGCTTGAGAGCTTCATTATACAATCTTTTGGCTTCTTCTTCTGCATTATTTGATGGAATTACAACAGACTCTTTTAGCAGAAATGTGTCTGATAATTTAGTCGAATGCAATTTGGATGATATTCCATTGCATTTGGTGAAAATAAACAGAATTGTAAAAATCAGAAGCAGATGCCATCTCGGTATATTATTTTTTGATAGACGTGTAACATTAGCCATTTATAATTATTCTAGGCTTCATAAAATTTTGTTGTGCTTTAAACTTTTTTTTCATATATTTACAAATAACTTCACTAATCAACCATAATTAATTATTTATTTTTTAAATCTCATTTTGTCTTGGAACTTAATAAACATGCTCATAGCAAGAATTATGTCAAGTCACATGTTCTTGTTCTGCACATTATTTTTCACTTTTCAAACTTAATGCAATAAAATGAATATCAAATCACTCAAGTGTAAACTTTCTGTCCACAAATCATAAATAACAATCAAGTCAACATTTATGAAATTGAACTGGATTTGCTGCTCTCGTTTTTATTATGAACACTCCTCGTCTTGTGTTTGTGGTGCTCAAAAAATTGTCTGTAACGAGAAGAAAAGTTTGACAAATTGTTAGAAATGAGAATGAAATGCCAAAAATTGAATGGATTATATCCATTAATGGTTTTAAAATATCATTGACAAAGGATTCGTTTATAAATGACGTCCATTTATTGAATAGATGTTTACACTACTTCCTCTATAGTCTCTGAATTCTATTATTTATTTTTTCAAAGATTATCAAGCATTTTAAGACCCAAACTCTCTCTTGTCGATTCTATCAATGCTAAACCTCATTTTTGTACAATCCCAAAGCCATTCTCATAAATTATTAATGAAAAATGGTGATTTGGTTTTGAATGTGAAAGTTTATGCCGAAAAAAAGATTGTTTGTCAAATTTTCTTTCCTTTATGAAAGGAACTTAGCGCCTCACGGTACTCAAAAAAAAAGATCAATTTATTGCTAATGTTCAAAGTTTTCTATGGTTTGACACAATTTCTTTAATAGAACAATTGCTGTAAGGGAGGAAGAAAGTAATGTATTTTTATTGCGGCTTTCGCTCTTATCAATCTATAACTTTTCATGTCACGAATGACTTCTTTATTTTTTCTATAACAAGAATTTCTCACTCCTTTGTGTACTTCCACCCTCTTTCCAATTTTCATTCTATTTCTGATTTCCTATCTATAAACTTATTTCTATTTTCTTGTCTAAGAAGACAATTTTAGCCAATTTTCTCAAAAGTAAATTCGCTTATGTTTTCACTTGGAATGGACGAATGAATTGGAAGATTATTAGGATCTAGAAACATTTATTGGATTGATTTGTTCATGAAACCAAAAATTGCTTTTACAAATTTGATTTTTCTTCTTGGAAGAAAGGTTGATTTGTCCAGCAACTTTTAGTAATTAACTTTGTATCTTAAACATAGCTTCTTCATTTACAAATAGATCTGAAGCTATAGATGAAGAATAAAACTGATTTGAATGTAATTAATATTTAAGAATGTTAATCACCTAATGAATAACAAACTTAACAAATAGTTTAGCTAAGATGACTTTCAGGTGAACAGAAGTAACTTACAAAATAAGTGGTTCAGATTTCAGTTCGGTTCCTGAAATCTGCTGATCTTTAATTCTACTTCTTTTATCACTATTTTAAAGTCTGAATTACTACAATTCATTTTTAAAGGCAAATCCAAAGGTGCTGATTTAATCAAAATGTAAAAAAAAAATTATAAGAACTTTATTGATCAATTCCGTAGAATTGGATAGATCCAAATCACAGAACAATACTGTTTCCTATTAAAAACAGTTTTAACACAGCTTTCACTTTCTACATCGTTGCAGAGAACCCCATGAAACCAACTGTGAATCTAACAAATTGTTACAAACAAGACAAGCTTATTGGCTTTTTAAATGACAAGTTATGAGACATCCTGTCTATCCTTTCTGAATCATAAAGCAGAAAATCCCAAACAATTCGGAAATTTCATTTTAAAAGTTCAAATAAAAATTTATTGGATATTTCAAATAAAAGTAAGAATAGTCCTTAATGCCTCCTTTTATTCTTCCATTAACCCCATCACTTCCTTACTTCCTATTTAATATAATATTTTTTTTATAGCTTTTCTCATATTTCAACATTTATTTCCCATTAATTCCACAAAGAAGCGCAATATTTTGATAAAACTTTAATCTCATTCACATAAATCTTAAATTTTCATTTTATGGCACGCGCTTATTCCTTTATAGCATGCATGTAAATATATTTTTAATGTCAATATTTGCTTATTAGCATCAATTCATCATATTCAGATAGAAGTAATAAAGTAATTTTCACACACGAGACTTTGTTTAATTCATTATCACATGCTGAATGACACTAACAACTTTTACCGCCTTAACAGCACTTGCTGTTCACTTGATTTGTGTGTTTATGCATTCACTATTCAACTGGTACTGAAAGTGAATCTAAACAGAATTTTTAAAGAAATTCACATGTGGCTGAGTGTACGAAGATGAGAGAGTAAGGCAAAGAGAGTGGCTGACTCTCGATGTAAATTATTCATGAGAGAGTAAGGAGATCAAGTTGTGAGAGTAAGAGCATGAAATATTGTGAGAACCCGCAAAAAGTAATAAAATTAATAACTTCATATCATACGCCGCGTATTAATTTTCTCAACACCAAAAATGATTGCATTTCGGACGTCCACATATGGAATCTACACAATATTAATAATAATAAAAGTGACGATGATAATAAATAAATTTGTTTATACTTGCAAGTAATGATGAAAAATAGGATTTTATTGTTGTGATTTTAATGTATGTAATGTGATGTAGAAGTAAACGAGCAACCTAGATATTTTTTTTGCATCTGAACTATTTTTATTGCATCAACACGGTCATGCACGGCTGTCTACACACTTGTTTATAATGTGTTCATTAATCACATTTAAAATTCTACTGAATTTTATTATTTTATAAAAAATGCGTTGAACATGTCAAATAGCATTCGCCTTCTCATTTTCGTCCTACGACTATAAATTTTTATAATTTATGACAGATGACTTTTAATGAATTCCATAAGATCACTCGTTTTCGTCTACGAACAGCCTGAATGAACAGCCTGAATGACTGCAATTCATCGTGTATGTGTGTGCAATTAAAAATGAATTTATTTATTCATCGATGTCATTCACATTAACATTGACCAGCTTAAACTTTACACTCGAGTCGTGAGAGGCTTTTTAAAAAACGAGAGTCAATAACGCGCGATGTGTTATAACGCCAAAAACATAAAGTAAGTAATCTCATGTATATTACATACAGTAATTGAAATGTATGTATGATGCTGACTATACGCTTGTAATGCCAACTAAGGTGAGATTATTTGCAAATTCTTTCGTGTGAGAGGTGATTGTTGTTCTTCATTTTGGATGACTTGCTGGATTTTAGGGAATTTCTATTTACTGGATCTTTTACAAAATTGTGTTTTTTGCCGTTTTTAGCACATTTTTGCACGATTTCTGTATTTTATTGGTTGCAACATGAAGAATATTTAAGAAACTATCAATTTCTATTAGATCCTCAGCTCTCAAATAGGATTACACAATGATTCAGATTCGGAAAAAAATGTTCAAAAATTCAAAAATAACATATTAATTAAACTTCATCTTTTAAATGCCAGATTAAAGATCTTAACTTAAAGCATATTCAGTGAAAATATCTCGTTTCAATTTGATGTCTAACTCCAGAAATCTTTAATTTATTTTCAACAAAAATTTGTTTACATTTTGTATATGAAAAAAAAAACTTTGATTTTCTCTACTTTAAGTTGTTATTTCCATATCTTGCTAGCTATTGTTTGCAAAGTTAAGCTTAGATTTGCATATTAAAGCTACCAAATCAAAAGAAAACTGCTTATTAAGTCTTAAAAATGCAATTGTAATCTGAGTATTTTTACAAAACTTAAACTATTCATAAGTTAAAAAGTCTTCCAAAGACCTCTCTGAAACCTATATAAATCAATTATTTAAGCTTAAATCTATCTCTCATACTAATATGGTCATGCCGTTTAATGCCGTTTTCGAGATATTTGCGTTCAAAGTTTACATAAATTTTCATACAAAATTTGGACATGCACAATATTTTTTGATAAACGTTTACATACTTTTGGTTAAAAAAATCATGTTTATCCTTTATATTATGGACTGAGTTTTTGAGCAATTAATGAAAACATTATGTAGAAGATGCTAAAAGAATCAAATCAAAAGAAATCAACAAAAACTTTCAATTTTCAGAAAAGTATTGAGCACACAATGATTCAGATTTGAAAAAAATGTTCAAATAATCCTTGTGCATAATATTTTTCAGACACATTGAAGTAATGAAATTTTTTATTGATATTCTCTAGTTTAGGACTTTTAATGCCTTTAATCTTACTTGATTATTGATTCCTCAAAATATTAAGTCATGAAATTGAGGATAAATAAGTTTTTTTTTACAAATTTCACAAATGTTTATCAAAAAATTTGGCGCACGATAGTAATTTGTATGAAAAATTAACTAATTTTCAATCGCAAATATCTCGCTTCGGGCATATTTGGGCATGTACACATTAATATGGAAGGTTAATTAGACTTTGTTCTTTATATTTAAATAGGTTTGGTAGAAGCGGAAAGACGCGAATTTAACTTATGAGTGTTTAAAGTCTTGGTAAATTTCAAAAAAATTAATCATGTATATTCGCCCAATTAATAGGTTTTCTTTTGGTTTCTTCACACAAACACAAAGTACTAAGCTTAATTAAGCTGGTTATCAGGATTAAAACAAGAAATTTGAAGTGGAAAGGAGAAAAAATTTAAGAAAAATATTTGTTGTCATTTTGTAAACAAATTTATTGGCATCTTAAAATCGAATTTTTGTGAATTAGACAACAAATTGGAATGTGATATTTTTACAGAACATAAAACACATCATGTTCTTTAATCTGGCATTTAAAACATATAGTTTAATTAACTTGTTATTTTTGAATTTTTGAACATTTTTTTCAAATCTGAATCATTGTGGAGCACAAGGAAATTTTAAACACTTTTTTCAAATCTGAATCATTGTGGATTATTAAGCATCAATTTTCTTAAAATTAAGAAAATTCGAAATATAAACAAACCATTTTTTCAAATCTTCAAAAGACGTTACAAATTTTTAACCACTTAGCCTCACCTGACATCTTCAATATCACATTTAATCCATGACCTATGATCTCAATTACATCACCAATTGATCAAAAAGACTAAGCGCCCTCATCACCTGATCACTCATTATTCCAATGTCTTTCATGTCAGGTTTTTCTATGTGCTGTATGCAGCGCTATTTTTCATATTTTTTATTAATAAAACGAATAAAACAAAATATACACAATGACTCATGACAATTTGTGAGTCGACCATAATTGATTACCGTGATGGTAATTCATATTACAGTAACAAACACATTTCATTTTACTGCCATACATCTACAGATTTTGCATGCCAAGC